ACAATAAAAGGCAATTTATAAAGTCTCAAACCTCGCAATAAAATGAGATTTTTACTATCTAGTACATAGAGCGTATCAAACCTTATAAAGTCTCAAACCTGGCAATAAAAGGCAATTTTTACTATCTATTATAAAGAGCGTATCTTTTATGAGAACATATATGATTTTTTGCTTCCAATTTAAGATCATTTATCCACGAGGGATAGGACCAGCAATCGAGCTGTACAGCTCATCACGGTGAACAGCTGTTGTGCCCCTGCTAAAGAAATACATGTATTTTCTTAAGTTATTTTTCTGGGCTGGGTAATGTTGCCTCACCCTCAAGCAACGAGCACGGATCATGGTGGGCCGCGAACATCCGACCTTTCGATTGAGAGGCGGAGACGTAACCACTTCACCACTGCTCCCCTAAAACTGATAGATATTTTTTCAGCCTTCTGGACTTGCTGGCAATGCGCAAGGACCCAGAGGGGATGACTGGGATGATTCTGCTGGAGGGTCAGGCTCTACCGAAGGACTTCAAACTCATCTCCTGTTATGTGGTTCAAGATGACGTCGTGTTGGGCACCCTCACAGTCAAAGAGAACCTTACATTCAGCGCCAAGCTACGACTAAGGTGGAACTCGATTTAATTTCCAACTGATTTAGTAAAAAGATAAGCAATTATATTTTCAAAAGAATTCTCTGATAAGAAGTGGACAACAATAGTAGAAAAATAGAAAAATTGTTGGTAAAATTTGATTAATCTACGGAAAATTTTTTATACCTGGTAAACATGCGGCCCTTTAGATTTAGAGGGCTACAATAAAATCGTCAACAGGAAACTGAAGAAAATTGACCACCTATTTGAAAATCAACTCTTATTTTGTTTAGAGGCCAGCAGCGTCTGGAAATTGAGGAAAGAGTGGAGCAAGTACTGCTTGACTTAGCACTGGACAAATGCGCCGACACTCTGGTATGAGCGAAGAAGTATATAAAAAAGTTAATTGAACAAGAATAATTTATTGCTGCGCTAGTAGTGAGGTCAAATATCATTGTGGACTGATATCATTTTACATTTTCACAAATATCAAGTGTGAAAAACAAAATTACTTTTTTAAATTTTCAAATTTGTATTTTTTCGAAGGAAAAGAGGCGAAGGAAAACGCGCAGAACGTAAAAGAGCTGTTGTTCAGTATTCTGTAGTTTTTAAGCCTGAATTACACCGCTGAGGGTGACTTAATATGATAACATACTCGAAACCAGTGCGGATTTCGGGTACGCAGACGTCTACCCTTTATGTAAATTCTAGTGTGGCTGACGCTTACCTTTTGCCCAGCTAAAGGGCTCATTCCATCTATTTTTGATCGAAGGATTGAGCCTAAACATGTTTAAAAATGTATTTGGTGCCAACATAGCTATCTTTGTGTGGGGAAGCAGGGCTCGCCAAAAGAGCTCATTTTTTGATCAAAAATATCATTATGAGGCCAAATAGTGCACTGGAGAGGCGTACAGTTTTGTGTCTCTATGTTCCTGGATTCCATAGACAAATCTTTAAACATATTCCAAAGTGCAAGTGGGTTCCACTTAAATAAATTCCGTGGACTCCGCATACAAATACCTGCAACGTAAAATTTGTCGGCTTATTAGTTGTGTCGCGGATTCCACAACAAGTGAATATAGCTAGCTGTTCTGGATTCCGCAGCTGCAAGTGGATTCCACAAAATGTAACTGGAATCTGCAAGTGCAAGTGGAAAATGCACTTGCAGATTTTAAATTTGTATGCGGAATCCAGAAAGAATTTCTAGTGGTTAGCGCGCGCCGAAAAAACGCGTTTTTTTTGTCAAAACGTTTCAAGAAGTGTCTATAAACCCCTTTTTTGGCTTACTTTTGCCTATAAAATTTTGCCTCCGGCGCAGAACGTTTGGGCAAAACAGGGTCTTTTTAGTGCTTTGGTAGAGCTCGGAAAATCAATTTGCTCGACTTAAAAAAAGGTCGACAAAATTTCACTTTTTTTTTTCGAAAAACTGCCATCCACTAAAAAAATAGTTGGTACTATACAAGATAGAGCTGGATTTCTTATCTATAGTAATCAAAAACTTAAAAGCAAAGACTTAATCATTTTCAGCGGAATCAATGATCAAATCTCAAAGCATTGGTTAACTATATCGGTGGATGACAGCTTTTAGTTTTTTTGGAAACACAACACCGAATAAAATCAATATTCGAAGTCATTGGGTTGAGAGTGTTTGGAAAGACAACGCACAGCATATCACCGAATTAAGTCAGTATTTGGGATTGCATCAATTCGAAATTCTGGTTTCGGAAACACATTGCCGAATAAATACAACACCGAATAAATTGTGTTTTGGAAACATAACGCACAGCATATCACCAAGTTAGGCCAGTTTTTGGGATTGCATCAATCCCAAATACTGGCGAGTAATTGGAAGTCCATTAATCCCAACTTTTAAATTTTGAATGCGGAATCCGCAAATGTAAGCGGATTCCTCAAACTATAAGTGGATTCCGATTTTTTTCTATGACTGAACTTGCATTTGAACAATTAAAAGATAGAGCTGGATTTCTTATTTATAGTAATCAAAAACTTAAAAGCAAAGCCTTAATCATTTTCAGCGGAATCAATGATCAAATCTCAAAGCATTGGTTAACTATATCGGTGGATGACAGCTTTTAGTTTTTTGGAAACACAACACCGAATAAAATCAATATTCGAAGTCATTGGGTTGAGAGTGTTTGGAAAGACAACGCACAGCATATCGCCGAATTAAGTCAGTATTTGGGATTGCATCAATTCGAAATTCTGGTTTCGGAAACACAACGTCGAATAAATACAACACCGAATAAATTGTGTTTTGGAAACATAACGCACAGCATATCGCCAAGTTAGGCCAGTATTTTGGATTGCATCAATCCCGAATACTGGCGAGTAATTGGGAGTCCATTAATCCCAACTACTGATATAGTAGTTTCCGATTCTAGTAAATTCAAGAGGGCAGTACTTGAGATGAGTCGAAAGTGAAATCAAATCTTGAGGGCAGTTTTTTTTGTTTGAAAATATGGTTCTACATCTTTCTTATTAATTGATTAAACAAAAGATATAAATTTAAACGCCCTATTACAGATATATTTATGGGTAAATGGAATCCGCAAAAAAACCGAAGTCCGCCTTCAATGCCAATATAACTAACTATGAGGGGCGAGCGCGTGCCGAAAACACGCAATTTTAGGTCAAAATTTTCAAAAAAAGCTTAAAAACTCTGCCGACCCATAGGTCCCTCTTTGTACTATTTTCAAACATCTATTCTTGGTGACGTACTCTACAATTTTTTTAAAGGCGCCTCCAGCGCCTTATTTGAGCGGGGGGGGAGGGGTTAGCGCGCGCCGAAAAAACGCGTTTTTTTTGTCAAAACGTTTCAAGAAGTGTCTATAAACCCCTTTTTTGGCTTATTTTTGCCTAGTAATTTTTGCCTCCGGCGCAGAAAGTTTGGGCAAAACAGGGTCTTTTTAGTGCTTTGGTAGAGCTCGGAAAATCAATTTGCTCGACTTAAAAAAAGGTCGACAAAACTTTCACTTTTTTTTTCGAAAAACCGCCCTCCACTAGAAAAATAGTACGCCACTGCCCACCCTGGTGACATCATTTTAACGGAGTTCTGTTTATTCTATGTTATTCTAGCTATGCTGGCAGGGGCGGATTTAGGGGGGGGGGGTGGGCCTGCTGACCCAAAAGGTCCCCCAATTGTACTGTTTTCAGATATACATTTTTGGCTGACGGACCTTAAAATTTTTCTAAAGGCGCCTGGGGCGCCAATATATACTAATTTTGAGGGGGGGGGGGGGGGGGGGACGCGCCAAAGAAACACAATTTTTTGGTCAATGTTTTCCAAAAAGTGCCTAAAAACGCCTTTGTTGGCCTGTTATTTGAAAAATTTGCCTGCGGTGCAGAAAATTTGGCCAAAACAGGGTCTTTTTAGTTTTTTGGGAGAGCTCAGAATATCAATTTGATCGACCTAAAAAAAGGTCGACAAAATTTTCGAAATTTTTTGAAAATCCGACCCCCCCTTGAGAAAATCCTAGATCAGCCCCTGTTTTATTATTATTATCATTATTATGATTATTATTGTTAAAAAGAATTCCACGGGAGAGTCCGTGAGGGTTCATCGACCCTCTGAGATGATTTTCAGGTTGGTAAGTTTCTTATTAAATTTCTGCAGTTGTACTATTAAAATTTTGAAGTTGTACTGGCATATGCTGGCATACTTGATCAAAGTAGGGCATACTTGATAAAAAAATATTACTGAAATTAGGCAAAGTGAGCCTTGTGTCATAGGTGGGCACTGACCTGATAAAGGGCGTGTCTGGAGGCGAGCGGAAAAGATGCAACATTGGAGTGGAGCTGCTCACTCAGCCGACTGTGCTGTTCCTGGACGAACCAACGACTGGGCTGGACTCCACGACCGCATTCAACGTCATGAACCATCTCAAAACGTAATTTCAAAAACTTTGCAAACATAAAGTGTTCAGGCTTTTGCAGTGACAGACATGCAAATCTTAGCCATACGGTTACTATACAAGTGGCCCAGAATGTTCCGACAACTTTAACTCGAGAATGCACAGAATGTTTTAATTTTTTTTTCTGAATTATTGATCAATTTGATTAACTGAATATACAATAACTGCAGGTTTGCAGTATTTATAGCTAAAATAACTTCTACTATAAAAATTTTTAGCTCATTCTTCAACGAGAGAAGTTTTTTTGCATGATTTTTCTGCTCAAACTATTTCCGACAATACTTGACCTATGTTAAGACTGTGTTCGACCTAATTATTAGATTAAGCTCGAATATGAACTAATACGTAATGCGACAACTCGCGATAAAAGACACCTCGCAATAAAAGACAACTCGCATTAGAAGGGAACTCGCAGTATACTCACCGCCGCAGTCGCGCCACTGTGTTGCGAGCTTGCCATCAGAGGGTAGGACTTTATGCGAAATTTAGAGCGAAATTTAGAACCGGCGACCTTAAACCGAGAATATAAAGTTTCCAATTACCTAATATGATAAAAATGACAAAAAAAGAGCGGCGATAAACGGCGTTAACCCTCTACACTCTTGTTGGAAGCTCGCTAGGGTTTTGCGCGCGCGACGGTGAGTGCATTGCGAGTATTTTCAATGCGAGTAGTCGTATTACCGTAACAAATATATTTTTTTCAATTTCGCATTGATTCGTTTTACAAAACTGCGCTAAAATTTTGATTCTAAAAAAGCTCCTGAAGAAGTTTTGCTGAAATTTCCTTTTTCTTGCTATATGAGCCCTTAGTTCTCAAAATCTTGAAAGGGCCTCTTTACAACTTCGGCGATTAACACACTTCGGTTGAATGCTCCTGCATGCTGCGCTTTGACGGTCGTTCTTTATTCGAGCTGACTTTTTCGCTCAATTTTAAATTTAAACTCGAATAACTTTTTCTCCAAAAATTAGATTTATGGCTAGTGCTTGATTTATGTTACTAATTTGCTGACGTTCTGACTGAGCTTGATCTATTTTTTGGCTTTTTTGAGCACCATTGAAAATGTTTTGATTGTACTCGACCAAAATTGGAGACCGAAAATGTGTCGAGTTTGTGCTCGACTTAAAACTGTTTCTCGGCCGCGGATTTCTCATCGCAAATTTGCACATGCTCGATTTTTAAAGTCGAAACATAAGTCGAACTCCTCGTCCCGGGAATTAACATAAATAGGTAGCCTTTATAAAAAAAAACCCTAGCTACATCATGAAATTGTTTTTATATGAATAGCATACGAGCGGTGCGTTAATGCAAGGGGTCACAGAGTCCTATCTTAAATAGCATATCTTAGAAAGAGTCTTTCAACAGTAGCCATGGTGATATTGTGCATTGTATCTGTGTGTAGACTGGCATCGCATGGACGCACAGTGATCTTCTCCATCCACCAGCCGAGATACTCCATCTTCAAACTGTTCGACAAACTGCACCTCATCTCCAAGGGACACACTGCATACCACGGACCAGCAGACACAGCCCTCGACTTCTTCGCATCGTGTGGTAAAGCCTCTCAAAACGGATCTTGATCAAATCCCCCTTTCTATAGTACATAGCTGAGCTTTTTATTTGAAAAAAAAAAGTTTGAAAAAATTATTTTGACAAAATTGTGTCAAAATAGGGTCTTTACCGTGAGTTGAGAGAACTCGGAAAATGAATTGGGTTGACCTAAACGAAATCTGCCCTCAAGAAAATCCCAGCCCCTGGTTACTGTTCTTGTTAAACTTATAACTATTTGTGCTCGTGCTCGTTGCTTGAGGGTGAAGCAACATTACCCAGCTCAGAAAAATAACCAAAAAACAAATTGCATGTATTTCTTAAACAGGGGCACAACAGCGGTTCGCCGTGATGAGCTGTACAGCTCTTGTGTTGGTCCTTTCCCCCGTGGATAAATGATCTTAAGTGTAACTGTGTATTATGGGTGATAGGGTTCCCGTGTGACAGCTTCAACAACCCCCCTGACTTCTTCCTGGATGTGTTGATGGAGTGTGAGGGGGAGGGACCACTGCAGACTCTGAACAAGAGTGGCTGGGTCAAGTCCACCACTGAGAGACGACATAGCATGAGGAGGACGAGCAAGAGCTACTCCATTCGATCTGGTTCGCACATTTTTTGTTTTAAATATACACCCCCTCCAAATCACAAACCCCCTCCAATTACTTAATATCGTTAAATGAAGCCAGCTGTGAAAGTTATTGTGCAGTTAGAAAAATATACCGGAAATAGTTTATAAAAACTACAATCAATAAGGTAGAACAAACTTTTGGCAAACATTAAGCAAGAATCCTTTAAATTAAATGGTGCAACTGTATTAGATTGCGCCAAAACGCCTTTAGACAACTGTTAGCGTCGTTCGGCCGAAAATAGAAATCGTAAAATAGTAAAACAAGGACCTTTTAAATGGTCCTTTTAAATGGTAAAGGTCAAAGCCCTTAGGTTAGGGTCGTCTCCCCCTTCACCTAAATCTGCCCCAGCTGAAGTAGCTAAAACCAAAAGAGCTTGAGTTTGGTTTCGCTTTCACGCAAAACTAAAAGCTCGGGTTATTGAAATTTGGAGGTAAGTTTATTGTTCCGACCACTTCACGACGTGAAGGGAAGGAACTATGGCGTAGGGTGTGTTCAATATTGCCGGGTGTTCAATTTGTTGCATCATGTTGAAACCCTTTGATTTGGATTTCAAAACCTGTAACGTGATTTCAAAACTTGAGACGGGCCCAGCTAAAACTGGAGGTACCAGTTTGATGTTTTTGAATTTGTTTTATTGATGCCGGATGAAATTAGTAATTTCAAAATTTCAAGTATTGAGCATTGCCCAAAACCATAGTTGTTTCTCTATTAAAATAAGTGAGAAGTTGGAATCTTCCCAAATGACATAACATTTAGCTCAGAAAAAAATAAGGCGTAACTACTTCTGCGGGAAAAATTCTCGCAACCTGTTATTTCGATTGAACCCTTCACCGCAGATTTGATAGAGTAGTTTCTCAGAAAAGTCAAAAACTTTGTTTCTGCAAACTGAAGGCCTGGTTAGCCTAAGCAGGGAATATGCCCACAACCGTGCTTCTCGATTGAACATTAAACTTAAGAATTGGAAAAGTAGTTTTAGAAAAAAAAATCTAAAATTTTGTAAATAACGGTCAATAAATCCAAAACGTATATAACCAAGAGTTTTTTTTGCTTTTGTGTACACAATTTTGGGCATTGAACGCAAACACTCAGATTTTGGAGCGTAATTTTCGAGCACAGTCAATTAGTTTCAAACAAAAGTAATAAATCAAAAAATGAATTATGTAGAAAATTGGTGGCAGTCGATTATGCAGGGGAGTTTCACAGAACCTGTTGTTTCGATTGAAACAAAATATTAGATTTGGGATGGTAGTTTTCGGGAAACTTCAAAAACTCATAAAACATTTTAAAAAATTTAAAGATTTGACATTTCCGAGGGAAAACTCTTTTAGTATAAAAGTTTGGGCGTAGGCGCATATACAAAGGAACTTCCCAGAACCAATTTTCTGGATTGAACACAAAAGTAGATTTGGGAGGGTAGTTTCTGCGATATGGGTCAAATGTTCCCGCACAGACTTTTCCAAAAGTTGTAGACAATCGGAAAAGGTGATATAAGACTGGGGGATCATGCAAGCACACAGGATAGTGATTTTTATATCGATGCTTCTTTTTGAAATCGATAGGGTAGTTTTTGAAAAACATTTTTAAAGCGTCTATAAATATAAATTAGAAAAAACCCAACCCCATACATTTTTACAACACTTGTTTTTATCAAACATGAATTCTAGGCAAATAAGCCAAGTAGGTATTTGAAATTTATTTTGGCAACAGAAAAAAAAACATACGAAGCGGAAACAAAGCCGACAACATTTTAGCAGGCACCAGTTGGGCCGAAAGAAGAAATTGATTTTAAAAAACGCTTAAAAGTTTCAAGTTCACCTTGAAACTACAAGCATCAACACTTGCAACTACCTTGACACTCCCTTACAGAACAAAAAAAATACCTTCATGTGGAACCAAATCGCCAATCTTGAACAGGCATCGATTTTTTACGGGAACAAAATTTTCCATTCCACGCATACTTAAAATCAAGGTCCTGTCGGGACTCAAACCTCAGACATCAGGATGCAGAAGTAACCGCGTTACCCACAGGCCTTGTGGGAAGGAAGCTGGAGTTTGTTAGGGTTAAACAAAAAAGCAATTTCAGTTTATTGTAAAATGTCTAGTTCCCGATTACAAGACACTTGCTCTCGCAAGTGTAAAAATTTGTCTCTGAGTCGAGAAAAACTGGTCGGTCCTTTTCCGGTTTTTGGGAGTAGTGGTGAAATAGTTACGTATCCACCTCTCAATTGAGGCCCATCATGATCCGTGCTCGTTGTTTGAAGGCGAGTCAACATTACCCCGCCCAAAAAATAGCCAAACACAATTGCATGTAGAAGTTAACCAGGGGCACATTAGTGGTTCACCCTATAGTAAATAGCCGAACAGCTCGTATTTTTTTGTGCGTTTATAAATTGTCTTCACTAAAGTTTCAGGTCAAATTTCACGAAATTTGGTGACACTGGTAGCTCAATTTTATTTACATTCAATTTACTTTTACTCCAATTTTGTATTTGTTTTTGCTATATTTATCTGTTCTTTTGTTGTTTTTTTTACCTTATTTACAAGCCTTACTAAAAATAGCCATACCTATTTGATAGCCCCTACTATAATGAAATCAAGAAAGTTATATTTGCAATGATTTTTTAAAATTTAAATGTGGTAATCGGAAGATTCTGTGCTCACGCTGTTTTCCTTGTTCACTCTTAGTTACATCTGCAGACAAACTTCTCAGCTTTTTTTTTACTGAATTTCATAATAACTTCGCGTTTGACTTTGTTAATTGGTGGCTCGTTTTTTTATTTAGGTCTACTCGGTCTTTTAATAGCTTAAAACACCTGAAGCTCTTATAAATTTTCAATTTTTTTGAAAATTTTACTTAAACCAAGTGCTACTACCGAGCGGACAGTGCAGTTATGTTTACTTTAAGTTTGATTGCAATATCCCAACAGCATGAATGATAATAAGTTCCTACCCGCACTGACTAAAATTGGATTGCAATCGATTTTATGCAGATTTTGTAGCAGAGGTTTGATTCTATTTATTTTAATACTAAAATATAGCTCAAAATAATTTTTTTAAATTTAGCTTAAAAATCGAATTAAATCCTTTTTGTCAAAGTTTTGGCTTCAATTTTCTACAGATTTGAGTAACAAAAAAAATCAAATAAAATCGATTTAAATCGAATTTTAAATATTTTTTGTATACTTGTTCTATTTAAATTACGTTTCTATTTTCTAGATCTTCAAACAATATAAAAAATATTGGAAATAAAAGTTTAGTGAGTTAAAAAAAATAGAAAATTTTAATTTTAATAAGCTTTTAATTGATTTTCGTTTTGATGTTTGGCCTGAAAATACGCTATGAAGATAACACTTATCTACGTTTTCTGCACTTAAAATGATTTTTTCTTATTTGATACTTTTCATTTCATGGTATTTGTCTAACAACATTGAGCCTAGAACGTTGATAACGAAAAATACATTTCAAAAAATTAAATAGTTGTTCTTCCCATAACTGTGGGAACCCTTCGTTTTTGCACAATTTAAACGTAATTTCTCAAACGCAAAATTTTGCGGAAAGAAACTCTCCTCGACTGACTCTTACTTTCTGTAACTCTCCTTGAGATTTTTTTCGAGTATAAAAAATTACTCAAGTTTTGAAACAAAGTGAGATATGGATAATATTCAATATCTTGCAAAAACGCATTTAAATTGATTATTAATTTTTATCTCAAGTTTGTCAGTGCAGTTATGAATGCGGTAAGATATTCGTCAAATATGCGTTCCTATTTTCCCAAAAGTAAAATTTTTTCATTAGAAAACTCTGCTTACCTTGCCCCACAAAAATTGAGAGGTAAAAAAAACGACATGTTGTTGACAATTTTTGCTGATTGAAGTATTTGCTTTCAATTTTGAGTCCCAAATAATAACTTCTGATTATGAAACTCTATTTATCTTGGCCAAAAATTTGAGTATGAAGTATTTTAAGAGTTCAACGCTAAAACAAAGCGACTGAAATTGAACAATTTGATCAGAATTTTAGTGGTCAAAAATGACATGATACCCATTTCACGAAACTGAATTAAAAATTTGCTCTTGGAAACTATTTTTTTGTCAACTGATTTTTTTCTTTTTTTTCAAACAGATTTAGGCTCAAAACAGATTTTAACTCTCCCAGGCCGAGGCCGGGGATTTTTGAGGCGATCATTGTGCTTAAAACAAGTTTGATTGCCACCATCATGTCTGAAAACGGATGTGCTGCTACCATCGCGACTCAAAGTGAGTATAATAGTACTCTGCTATTTAGTGCGACTTATTTTTTATGTTTGCTCAAATTATTAGCTACTTTGCGCAATTTACTACGCAATTAAGCCTCGAATAACTTAAAAACCAAAACTAAATCACTGTTGCTTTTCAAGTTGAATTGTGTGGCAAAGTTTTACCAGATCAAAAACATGAACATTTCTTGAAATTTGATTTTATTAAAACTTATTAAAAAAAAGTGTTATTTTTAAAACTTAATTTAAAAAAAGATAGCAAAATATTACGCTTATAATTTGTGGATTCCGCTTTCACTTTGCGGATTCATTTTACAGTTGAGGATGCCACGACAACTTGAATTTACTAAACCCATATTTTATTATGTTTTTGTGGATTTCAAAAATTGTTTTGGATTCTGCAAAATTGTCCGTGAAATCCAAAACAACAAAGAAGATCAATGAAAAATAGCTTTGGAATCCGCAACAAATGTTTATAAGTCTATTGCGGAATCTGCTGAAAACTCATTAAATACACAGTTTGGCCTTGTAATGCCTATATAACACTACTAGGTCTCAAATATGTCTGTAATAACAAGTGAAAAGATAATTAAGGCTTCTAATGTGAAATTTTAAGACAAAGTTTGACCACAACAAAGGCAAAAAAACTTCAGGGAAACTTGAGTTTATAGTAGTAAACACTTGTTTTGTAAAAATTTAGATGGCACAATATTGCTTCCGTCTTTGTTTTAAGTTTTTAACAAACGGTGGCCAGTCAATAAGCAGAATGGTCTAAGAGCAAAATGGGTCCAAGAGCAGAAAAACAGAAAAATATCATTATTTATCTGCTAATCTGTGAATTAATTATCAGAAATGTTTATTATACCAAAGCAATGAACATTTTTTGTGCATAATTTGAGTAATTTAATCATGAATTTGAATAAAATATATCACAAAAAACTTAGTGAAATTATTCAATTCATGCATAATTTATTCGTTTTCTTGGTAATTTTTGACGATTCTAATAATTGTTTTATCGATTAGCCCGTATAAACCAATAAAATTCAACTTTTTTCTATTTTTCTACTCTTGGACCCATCCTACACTCGGAATATTCTGCTAATTGCTCCGCCTCCGTAACAAAACATCTAACTTATAACTAATACATGCAATTTTTTCTATTTATTGTATCATTTCTTAGTTTCAAAATTATAATGGGGCCAGTTGAAACTCACAGTCTGCGTTTAACCGTTTAACAAATCTTCTCGGGTGACTGTTGCTCACTGCATCACTCAGATGCAAGGCTTTTCTTGAGTTTTTAATTTTTCAAATTAGAACAACAAAAACTGTGTTTGAAAAAATTTGCGCTATTCATGTTTTATTTTTGTACATTTTAAGTACTGAATTTGCGCGACGCATGATTGCGACTTTGCGCGACCATTTTGAGCTATGTTGCGACTTTGTGCGAACTATGTTGCGACTTCTTTGTGCGACTCAAACATGGCTCAAGTGAAGATTTCGATCGCGTGATGGACATTTCCGCGCACCAATTCGGTTGCGACATAAGTTGCGGACATAAGCCGCGCTACACTTTTTTTCGCTTTCGTATAATTTACACTCCCCCCCTCAACTCCTCCGAAATGCCAATGACTCACAATAATCTCAAATCTGTTTCTGATCAAATTCACTGTCCCTTTGCAGATTTGGACCGGGGTGTTGAGAAGAACTATGACCTACCTGGTGCATTTGGGAAGTCTAAACACCACAAGCGACTGGCTGAGCAGCTGAAGGATGAAAAGGGGTTCTCGAGGAACAACGAAGTCCAGATGAACCTCAACCAGTTCAAGGTCGACTACCCCGCCAACTTTTTCCAGCAGGTAAAATGAGTAAATGAGAAAAAAACCTTGAATAATTTTCTCCTAAAGTTTCTCCGAAATAAATTTCTCCAATTTTTTTTTAAATGAAGAACGCTATATGATTGTTTTTTTCATATCTTTATTTTTTACTATCGATAATATAGTAAACGGTCATTGTATCATTACAGAAAATTGAAAAATCAGGCCTAAATTCTTCTGGTAATGAGTTGTAATGATTTCAGGTGTTTTACATTTGCCAGAGGCTTCTTCGGAACACCAAACGAAGTCCGGGCGCGGTCGTCTCGCAAGTAAGCAAACAGCAAGTAGTTTAATTGAAAACAGAAAATGTGTTTATAGTTTTTAGTAGCTCTCAAGATTCGATATGATTTTTTTTCTCTAATTCCATTCTTTTTGTTATTTAGTGAAAAATTTTATTCAAATGTTATTCCAAGAAGGCTTTGGTAAAAAAATAAATATCATCTTCGTTATAGAATTTTAAAGCATGACCGTATCAAAGAGAAAATAGAGCGGATGATATTTTCAAAATTTCAATCAGTTTTTTGTCGAAAAGTTTTTGCTTTTTAAATTTCGGTGTTTAGAATGCTTTTAAATTTCTTTCGCCGATTTTCAGATTCTGGTGTCGACGTTGTTTGGCCTCATAGGGGGCGTGTTCTTCCTACACACGGGGGGAGACCTGTCCACCCAGAGTGGCTATCAGAACAGACAGGGCGTGGCATTCTTCACTTGTGCCAACTCCCTTTTTGGGGGTGTGGCCGTCATCACCATATTTGTCACTGAGAGATCCCTATTCTTGTAAGACTTTCGTTCACTTGTCGCATTCCGATTATTGTCTTAATGAATATGTTCTCCTACTTCGATGTGTGCCTAGGTTTGAAAAACATTTAGCAAAGCATGAGTTATGAGTTGGCCGGGGTGGCCTTCTCAGAGAGAAATTTCGGACAAGGTACACGTCTGTTTGTCACGCTATCTTAGTTTAGGCCGCAAAGATTCGTGCAACTTTTTAGTCTAATTCCAATCCTAATCTCACTCTTTTATTTCCTACTCTCAAAAGATCTAGTATATACTGATACTTTGCTAGATTGAGGAGAGAAAGAAGCAACTGATGTGTATTCTAATCTGTATTATATTTCCTCTGGCTGAAACTATGAAAAGTTTCAGCTGTACAATTTAGAGTCAGTGTTAGTAATGGATCATGATTGGTTATTTATAAATAATTCATAGTAATAAGTTTCAAGGTGTATAATAAATACTTTAAATACTTGTTTCAAACTGGTTCCACCCATCCAGGGCTTAGGAAATTTTTTGAATCAAAGTTTTTTTTTGTGGAAGATGGATGGATTTTCAAGATTATTTTAGGAGAGTGTAGATTGATTGTGTCAGCGAAGTAAATCCGATAACATTGATTGAGATTGAGAAATTGTTGTGAATCCAAAAAGATCCTGATGAACTTGCAGATGTGTGTTATTGAAGTGTCGATTTCAAAAATGGAGCTAGACCATGTGCATTCTCATTTTTTCGTTCGTATTGATTGAGTAGCGAGATAAAGGGTTGAGTTCTCTGATTGAAGCGCCAAGTGATAAGAAAACGTATGTTTGAGTTTAAACCTCGAGTTGACTACTATTCTTTTTCAATGGATACCTTTGCTGCGATTTCGGCTCCATACTTTATATCCTGTGAGAGTTGTGACTGCAGCAAGAAAAATCAATAGATTTGCTATTCCATAGTCGAAATGGCGTCGATTTTTCATTTCCCGTTTACTGCTCGTTTCTTTTGCTCTAGGAAATCTTACGTTATATATATCTGCACTTTAGTGATTTAGTTTTAGTTATGATTTTAATAGTAAATAGCCTTTTGATTAGTTCGGTTATTTTAAAGAGTTGCTCAAACTAGAGCCAGTCCTAATAAAAGTTGTGTCGTGGTTTTCTTAGCATGTTTTCTAGCGCGGTTGGTGAGGCCGGCTATAGAGCATTCTATAGGACGTTCTTCGAGGCTAGTCGGAGTATTCTCGTGAGTGTCTCTTGAGTAGAGTCTCGTCTTTTTCATAATTTCGTAACCCTGTCTTTCTTTTGTGTCAGGTTTTTTGTCTATTATTCTATGCTTGTGACTTTGAAAAAAAAATAGTTTGTGTTTGATTATTTATTTGATTTTAGGAAAAGATTAAGTAAAAAATTTATCAACAAAGATTTAAGACGAAAGATCCAAATAGAAGCTTTGATTATCTGGCTCAGGTATTTTAAACTTAAGGTTTAAAATTTAAAATTAAGGAGAAGCCTTGATAATTATACAAGTGGAATAAATTTAAAATTTTCAAAACGGTCAGAGATCCAAGAAAAGTCTTGATGATTTTGATTTTGAGAAAGTTAGTTATGAAAATTTTGATCGTTTGTCTTAAAAAATGATGATAATCCTCGAGAATCAAGGAATCTTCGCCAAACTAACAACAATCAATTTTCGATCAATTGTTTTTATTTTTGTGTTTTTGATGAACTTATGAATTTGAAAAATAAGTTTTAGAAAAGTTTACTGCAGATTGTTGTTTTTAAGATAGACAAAGTTTTTTTCGACATTTTAGTATTCAAGTATAGTATAGTATTAAAGTCAAGTATCCTTTTTGTTTAATAATCGAATTATATTGCTTTTTAAATCAAAGTTGAGGCTATATTTAATGCAGATCATATAATATGTATTAAGATTTATTGCATAATTAGATTTCAAATTTTGTCATCCTCATCTGTTTTTTCGCTTTGCAATGCAGGTTTTCGCTTTATCGTGTTTTGTTGTAACCCGGTTTTGTCTTTAGTATTGGCTCGGCTGGATAAGACTTATTGAGACGTGAAAATTTTTATTTTGTTTGCTTTGTTTTGGTTTTTTTTACAGCTAAAATAGTATTAGGTCTGCTAGAGACGCTCTGCTCGCATCAGATGAGTTTGAGTCCGGAAAGGCCTTCTCATGGGTTAACTTTGGATAAAGGTACGCCGCCTGCTCGTCACGCTATCTTATTTTTGGCCGGATGGATTCGTGCAATTTCTCATTTCAATACCAATCCTAGTCTTACTCTTATATTTCCTAGTCTCAATAGATCTAGTGTATACTGGTATTCTTGCGAGGTGAGAGAAAGAAGCAACTGATTTCTAATCTGTATTATGTTTTCTCCTGTTGAAATTATGAATAGTTTCAGCTGTACAATTTAGAGTAAGTGTTAAAAAAAGGATCACGATTGGTTAGTTATATATATTTCATAGCGATAAAAATCAAAACAAGTGATAATTAATTTTAATACTTGTTTTGAACTGGTTCCAATTCGAGGCGACCAATTTACTTGATTATAACGTCATTTCAGAGAACAATTGGAGCTCCGCACTATTGGTGAAACATGAAAAAAGACAATTTAAAAATTGTTTTTTTTTTTATAAACGTGCATTCAGATAAACTAGAAAGTTGATCAAAGAATTCAAAACCAAAATTATCATTATATTAAGAACAAATGATACCACAAAAAAGCGCAAGAAATCATGAAATTTATTGTGCATAACAGCTACTTTGCGGTGTATTTCCTTTAAAAGTATCATTTTCATTATCCACCCACCTCAATAATTTTGCTTTATTCTCATAACAGGTAAAACAATGGTTATATCCTCCCGTACCGAGAATATTCTTTATTTCTGACCTGAAATACTTTGTATCTAATCCTATTTCTGTTCTGAAAGTTTTTTTGAAATACTTTATTTCTCATCCTAATTCTGATCAGAAATTAGCCAAATCTAGGCTATTTCTAGTTAGAAAAAACTCTTCTGGTTGGGCTCGAACCCACGAACTTCTGATTGCTAGACATTTGCTCTATCCACTAGTCTACATCCCTTGAAAAAGTTGAGTAGTTTTAGGAGAATAACAATGTTATAACAAGTGTAAGTTTGCATTGTATTCGCTACTGCTATTGTGTATACTCGAAGCATGTTTATCTCGTTGCGGTTGAGCAAAGAACAGATTTCTGGTTATTTTTTTCCAGAAACTGTTTGTTTCTAAGACTAGGGAATAAAAGATCACGTCTGCACGGAAAATACGAGAAAACTAGGCTAGATAATCTACATAGAATTTCTATCTAGAAAAACAGCTTCTGTTCGGTACGGGCTAGCATCTGAAAAAACTGTAGAAAGAATTTGAAAAAACTGCAGAAAATCCAAAAGACAAGAACTAAAAACTGCATTTCCAAAACAAAATTTAGAAACGATTGAAAAGGTATATTACGCTGAGCTGTTTGTTTGGTGGTATATAAAACTGGCTTAAATGCTCCGCGCATTTTCCACTGGTTTATACTTCGACTGGTTTATTTACTCTCATTTATGTTATGAAACTGATATGGAAATATTGAAAAAACGGTGAGCATCAAAGCCGACAAGCTTAGCCAAAGAAATTTCAATGAAAAAAAAATAATAAAAAACTCTATTATTGAAAAACTATTTAGCGTTCAACCCTCTATCAATAGTATTCAACTAAGAAACTTAGCGCGCAAGAAAATAAAAAATTAAGCCGAGAAAAACTAAACCGAAAGGAACAGAGTCAAGAAGTCGAAAAAGTTCATTTAAATTAATTTACCGCAAATTTATTTGAAAAAGATAATCAAGCAATCCACAGTGTAATTAATTGATAGACTATTGAACAAAACTAATAGGACTCATATGTACAGCTAATATGACGCCACGTGGTGAAATCGGTGAACCAGCGGTCGAAAAAGTCTGGTACTCGATTGCAACACACTTGCTATCGAAAGTGTAAATAGCTTACCATGTCTTACATGTCTTAACTCATTATCGCTATTTTGGTTTTTACCCCTCCCCGACCCCCCCCCCCCCCCCGACCCTGTCATTCGCTTCTGATAACTAATAGCTTATGAAAGGTAAATTCAACAGTTCAGCACATCGAAATTTTTTACTTTCAAAATTTTTATTTTCAAAACAAGACTCGAGTTATGTTCTGTTCTGGGGTAGTGTTGGTGAGTATATTTTTTGTGATGAAGTCTGATTGGTTTAATTTAGACATGAGAGTGCTAATGGGTTCTACCGAATCTCCTCCTACTTCCTGTCCAAGTTCCTCTGTGACGTCATCCCCCTCCGAACCATACCCACAGTCATATTTGCCACACTGCTCTACTGGATGACAGGTAAAACGAACCCCCCTCTCCCCCCCCCCCCCTCAAAACTGTAAAACCCCTACGCTCACCCACCACCACCCATCGCTAAAACAACTGAAAAGTCCCCCTACCCACCAATGTACCTGTAGCAGAAAGCATTCACGCATCATAACTCCGACACACCCAGTACTCTGAGGGACGTTTTGGACCCGTATCAACTGATGGCGTATGTTGTGTTGATTGCATAGGCATGAAGACGGACGTGACAGCCTTCTTCCTCTACATATTGACTGCGTGTCTGGTCGCTCTGGCCGGCTGCTCCGCGGGACTGGCAGTCAGTGCCACCTTCAACGTCATCCCAGTGGCCATCCTGTCCGTCACCACCACATTCGTACTCATGCTGGTACACAACACACTACACATCCCATTTTCTATTTCTAGCCACAATCTGCAGCTGCTTTTTTTCTACGCCCCCCCCCCCCCTCAGGGATTCGACCCCCTGCTGACCGAAAGGGTCCCCCTTTAGTACTTTTTACTTTTTAAGAAATCTATTTTTGGCCTACCGACTCTAAAGTTTTTCTGAAGGCGCTTTTGGTGCCAAAATACACTAACTTTGAACGGGAGCGAGCGCCAAAAAAAACGCGATTTTTTGGTGAACATTTTCCAAAAAGTGCCTAAAAACGCTTTTTTTGGCCTGTTTCTCAAAAATTTGCCTGCGGCGCAGACAAATTGGCCAAAACAACGTCTTTTTATTGCTTTAGAAAAGCTCAAAAAATCAATTTAGTCGACCAAAAAAAAGGACGTCGAAATTTTTGAAATTTTTTTGAAAATCCGCCCCCTCTCGAGAAAATCCTAGATCCGCCCATGGTTCTTCCATTTGAGGTAATAGCCATGTTGATTGGGAGGTAAATACTTAGAATTCAGGCTTCAAAAACTTCAAAAAAGCAAAGATCAGATATTCAGACCATTTTTTCCAATAACTGTTTGTTCCGATCATTTTTTTTTGTTTTCCACGCAAAATCAGCTACCAAAAATAATCATCGGAATGAGTCGAGTGAACAATCATATTAAATTCCTTTCAGTCGTGATGCAAACGACATTTAAAAATATTGAAAAGTTTTCTCAGGTTCAGGAAAACCGGTTTCAATTTTTTGATTTTTAGTCTAATTTCGAGCTAACAAGGTGAGCGTGAAGGCTTACCATACCGTGTTGATTTAAATTATCTGGACAAAACTAATGAAACTTGAAAGTTAAAACGCGTTTTTCTCAAAGTGGGTTGATTTTAGACAAAAAGATAAGAAGACAAAACTTGCCTAGAAATTTAACAGAATTAATATGGTGAGAATTGTTCTGCAAAATTCAGGGCTAAAAGTTGACCCCCAAAAACTATCGTTTTTGGCTTTGCTTAGTCAATCAAAAAATTACTCCACACCTATTTGTTCATTTACTGTGAAAACCCATATCACTGCAAGCCTCTTGTATACCCCAACAAAATTTACTAAGTAAAGCAGCAATTTTTCAAATAAAAACATTTAAAAAACCTTTTGCGAGACTATACCCTTCGTAAAATTTGTTGGGCTACATAAGATGCTTGCAGTAATATAGTTTTGTAAGTAAATGAACAAATATGTTTTGAGTATTTTTGATTGATTGAACGAAGCCACAATTGATCAGTTTTGGGTTAAATTTTAGCCCCGAATTTTGCAAAACAAATTGCACCGTTTCAATTCTGTTAAAATTTTAAAAAAGATTGGTTTTCTGTCCAAAATCCAACACTTTTGAGAAAAACGCGTTTTAAATTTCAAGTTTAATTCGTTTTGTCCGGATAATTTATATCAGCACTGAAGTTTGCTTAGGCTCAAATTAAGCCGTGAAAAATTAGTTTTACTCGAGCTAGTTTTTAATGTTTTTGGCGCCATTTTGGGATTCAAAAATTTCAAAAAGTCAGCAAAAAGTTGTGTTTACAATTTTTGTTCGTTTTCCAGCCATTTTCTACAAAAACTGTTTTCCAATTGGCTTTTTTGACTATGACTGTCGAATTGGCTTAGTTTCTATTTTTTGGTCAATTTTTTTTTTTCACACCGCACAGAAAAAGTGACACTAATTTGAAAAAAAAGTATTTTCTTAAGACTATGGTCGGAGCATTTTGTGCTACCTGCACAATAAACGGCTATCTTTTTTAAAACTTGCTTTTGGAGATTAGAAGCACGACTTAAAGTAGTTTGCTAGAATACCACATTCGAGTTACCATTGATTTGAACTTTCCCTGAAAAGCCTAAAACTAATAAAGGCCATAGATCCTCACCAAATTTGTTAAATTGTCAGAGCAAAATGTTTTCCTTGATGTCCTCATCAATAATTTGATTAGGAGACTTACTTACTTATAAAAGTTAATAGAGATTAAGAAAAAAAACTAATCAATAATCTTTGTTCAATTTTGTTGAGCTATTAGTTCCGATAAATCTCGAAAGATTGGTAACAAAAACTTTCCAGGGTCAATTTGCCGGCTGTTTCAAGAACCTCAAAGGTTGCTCGGAGGAAACAGAGTCCTATGAAAGCGCTATCACTGGAAAAAATATTTTGAAAAACAAACCTCTCTCAGTGATAACCGATGCAACAAAACTTGTCTTGATATTGTTTTTTGTAGTTTAATTTATTTTCGCAAAGAACGGAGGAAATATTCTTCTTTTCTATTTTCAAAATTAAAAATCTAGTTCATCTAGTTTTTTAAAATTAGATAAATGGGCATTAAAATGCTCAAAAATTATGGATCAGAAGGGAAAATTCATTGAAATCAAATCTCCCTTAGAACACGAAAGAACATGATTTTCATTGTAAATTTTTTTTGAAATTCCTTCTCTTTCTAGTATATACAGCGATGACCGAATATATTTTGGTTAAAATTCAAAGATGCTGTAAAAACTATTAGCGTTACCATGCAGCAAATACAAAAAAAATACGTAGTACCTGTCAATCTATTGTCAGAAAATAATGTTTACCAATTTTGACCAAAAATATCGGGTGTACCTTTTGAACTTAATTGCTGAAGTTTTTAATATTAAAATTACAGATTCTCATGAAAAAATGATATAATAAGCAGTCTTTTATTCATGAAGTGCAAATGACTAGTTTTTGTTGACAAACAAAAAACACAAAAACATTTTGAGAAACGCTTTGAAAATTTGTTATTTTTTAAATTAACAATTTAAAAAATAACAAATTTTCAAAGCGTTTCTCAAAAAGTTTTTGTGTTTTTTGTTTGTCAACAAAAACTAGTCATTTGTAGTAATTTAAAAAATAACAAATTTTCAAAGCGTTTCTCAAAAAGTTTTTGTGTTTTTTGTTTGTCAACAAAAACTAGTCATTTGCACTTCATGAATAAAAGACTGCTTATTATATCATTTTTTCATGAGAATGACCAAGGATTTTCTTATCCAAAAAACGCAGAAAGTAAATACCAAAAAATGCAATAGAAAGCTTCTAATTAATAGTTGAAATTTAATAGATGAAATTAGAGGCGTGTTTTGTTACAGATTTAAGTTTATCTGAAGATAAAAAACCAAAAATTTTAACTATGGGATAAAAAAAAATTCAATGATGTGAATTTTGGATAATCTGTGTAAATTCAACCTCAACTACCTTTTAGGCAAAAAATTTAAGCAAAAGTGTTTTTTATTTCTGAAATGTTTAGTTGAGCAGATAAATTTGCGAACAAAGAATAGAGAACATATGTTAACCTTTATTTTGTTTTCCTACAATTGTCTTTCATGACAAATGCTTAAACAGAGTTTTTCTGATTCCAAAAACGAAATAAATTTGTGATGATCAGAAAGATTCAAAGTCGTCGAACTTTTTGAGAAACGCTTTGAAAATTTGTTATTTTTTAAATTACAGGACCAAGGATTTTCTTATCCAAAAAACGCAGAAAGTAAATACCAAAAAATGCAATAGAAAGCTTCTAATTAATAGTTGAAATTTAATAGATGCAATTAGAGGCGTGTTTTGTTACAGATTTAAGTTTATCTGAAGATAAAAAACCAAAAATTTTAACTATGGGATAAAAAAAAATTCAATGATGTGAATTTTGGATAATCTGTGTAAATTCAACCTCAACTACCTTTTAGGCAAAAAATTTAAGCAAAAGTGTTTTTTATTTCTGAAATGTTTAGTTGAGCAGATAAATTTGCGAACAAAGAATAGAGAACATATGTTAACCTTTATTTTGTTTTCATACAATTGTCTTTCATGACAAATGCTTAAACAGAGTTTTTCTGATTCCAAAAACGAAATAAATTTGTGATGATCAGAAAGATTCAAAGTCGTCGAATAGAGGAAAAACTTATTTAAGTCTTCAGAACAGTTTTTAAAATTAATTTGAGAATTGTATAATAATAACTTTTTCATACACTTAATGAATGAAAATGTAGGAAAAGCAGTTGCTTGAGGGGAGGTCATCCCTCGTAATTTGTGAGTGGTTCGTTTTCTTCTAAAAATTAACAGAAACAAGACTGCTCATATATCAAGGCAATGGCCTGATCTTTCCGACTGCCTTATAATCCATATTGAATACTTTTTGGTAGAAAAAATTATTGAAATATTGAAAAATTATTGACAATATCAAAAATCGAGTAGAATAATTTGAATCGTACAAAATTTTACGACCAATTAGCTACTCTCAATTCAACTACGAACGATTTTGTTGTGCGGGATAATTCGCCACGCATAAATAATTCGCATTATGCTTTCAGATTATGCATAAAATATTTACAGCGCGCATAAATTAGTCCAGAGCATGGCCATACTGGCAATTTTTGAACTCCCAAAACTTTGCAAAAAATGATTGGAGGAAAAATATTGTTTTAAATTGGATTTTGGGGAGTCAAAATCTTCATTTGGGAATAAAAAATTTTCGTTACAAACTATTATTTCGATCGCCGAAAGTTCACTAAATGAAAAATCCTCACCACGCATAAATATTTTGTTTTCTTCAAAAGTCGAAACAACAATTGTTGCTTCTACCAGGGACAGATTTAGGTGGGGGGGGGGGGGGGGGGACGGCCCCCTCCCCTCGAGAAAATCTTAGATCCGCCACTGGCTTCTCCCACTCATGGAGTTGGAAGTAGAGATGATCTTTTTTCGTACACAAAATCAGAACGACAAATTTCATCAAATTATTTGAAGTTTATTTTGAAACGAACAACCACTAATTTCACTACCTTTGAACAAAATGAACAAAAACTTCAGAAGTATGAATGTCTTTAAACCACTTTTTGCACTGCAACGTTCATGTGGTCCAAAATTTTGATGATCTTTGCATAAATACAGAGTAACACTGTTTTATTCGCTCCATTTTTCAGATGTTCGGCGGTTTCTACATTGACGTGGACAATATCCCCTTTCCATTCAAGTATCTCCAGTACCTCAGCTGCATCAGATACGGAATTGCAGTAAGTCACATCTCGGTAATCCACACTGTATATTCTGGCGTAATTATTAACCGTTTTCTCTGCCCCTGGACAGAAATGGTCGGCTTCTCCTTTTGAAATTATTTTTGCCCCGGAACTATAACTTTAAAATTTTTGCCCTTTAATTAACTTCACTTTTAACATCACGAATGAAATCCATGACTATTCCAGTGTGAGGTATAATATCCAAAGATTGAGACATTGTATTCATTTTATGTTAAGACTAGTGTCTAATATTTGATTTTAACTTCAGGCAATCAGCATCCAGGAACTGAAAGGAAAAGTGTTCACAGATGAAGACGCGGGTTTTGGCAACTTGACGTAAGATTTACCATGAACGAATAAAATATTCGCTTTCGTGATAATTTTAGTTTTTTTTTTCAAAAATAAAAATTCTATCCATGGCCTGATTTTTCTGCTTCTTTTGATATTCGGATCCCTAAATAGCTTATGAAATTTGAGTCCCCCTTTTCGAAAAGCTTAAACGCAAATCAACTAATGTGTGTGCATGCTCTTTCCAAAAACTTTGGACAATATAATGTGTTTCCAGCTTCCATATACTTTTAAGGGACGCAATTATCATGACATAAACATTTTTCAGGCGCACTACCGATTTAAGAAAGTGTAAGATTCTTTTAAGAAAAATTCTAAGATAGCGAATTTTAGTCAAGCCGGGTCCACCTGGATATATATTTTTTTGAGATGGTTGTTCGTTTCTAGTAAAACGGGGGAGGAGTACATGAAAGATGCGGGGATCAAGTTTGCAACTGAGTGGGACTACTGGCAGAACCAGGTGGGGCTGGGATCCATCATGATCGGATGTCTCCTCATCACCTACGTCAGACTCAGACTCATCAAGAAGCTCAAATGACCTTACACAACTGACAAATGCGCAATCAATACATCATTATAACTCACAAGTTGTTCATGGCAGATGCCACACGACTTGCTAATGTCTCCATTTAGATTTCACAGGGCACTCTTTCAGGCCGAATTCAGATGTAAATGGGATTATGATACTTCTTGATTTGTATGTTTTTGTGTATTTCGGCCTCAAAAAATATAATGCATTTCTCTCCTTCTATTAACAGTATAAATAGATTATGTGATAATCGTCTAGGCGAATCCTCTATCTAGGCGAAACTTTAAGCACTGAAGGCAAAATTACTCAAAACTGAAAAAAAAACAAAAGATATTTTTTTTTTGGATTTTTTGGATCAATTTGACACAAAAACTTCGCTCAAAAGTTGTCGTAAGGCGCCAACATTTTGCTTCTGCTCAACAGCAGGTATAGCAGAGCAAAAAGTTACGTTTTGATTTAGCAACCATATTGCAGAAAATTTTGGAAGTTGATGGTGCCGTACTTAGTTGAAAAGAGCCTTTAGGAAAATCTCCCAAAATTGGCTCAACAAAATAGTTGACTCTTGTCTCGGTAACAAGTTGAAGTTGAAAATTTGAATTGATTCAAGTCTTTCAAATTTAGTGAAATAATGCATTCCTGGAACAAAAGTTACTTGGAAAGATCTGCAGTTTTCATTACTCTCAGAAAAACGTAGTTTTCACGTTTCTTATTCGAACCAAATTGTTATTTTTAATAGATTAATTTTTAGTGATATTGATATATGGTTTTTCACAGATAGTTAATTTTGTTTTGAAAAGCAAAATTTTTAGGCCCTGATATCGACAAAATAGGTAGTGTTTACAATTACCTAAGGTTCTTCAAGGATAACGATTATGATTTAAGTTTGCCAGAGCAAAATTACCAAAAAAAAATTGTACCGCTAGAACTCAACAATCAAGAATCTTCGGAAAAGATTCTTGATTGTTGAGTTCTAGCGGTACAATTTTTTTTTGGTAATTTTGCTCTGGCAAATTTAAATCATAATCGTTATCCTTGAAGAACCTTAGGTAATTGTAAACACTACCTATTTTGTCGATATCAGGGCCTAAAAATTTTGCTTTTCAAAACAAAACTAACTATCTGTTAACGCTCAAACGATTACTGAAAACGAAGATGCATACAAGAGCGTCGACTGAAACAATGAGCGAGAACATGAATTAAAAAAGATAGCAGCAGAAGGAAGCAACTCAAAGAAAAATCTGAAATATTTAACGCACAGAGAAAACCTCAGGGACACCAAATTGGATTTGCGACTGAATGAAGAGACGGAATTGCTTAAAAATTTACTTTTCTTTATATTTCCGTAGTAAATGGCATAAATTACGCTGTTTTGAAGAGACAAGGAAAATATTTATACAAGCTGCAGACATAATTATCGATAATTGGTCTCTTGACTTTGCATTGTTGGACAATTTAGAAGAATAAAATGATGGCGTTGAGTTTAAATGTTAGCAGTGTAGTGTTGAGTTAAAGTATCCGGACAAAACTAATAAAATTTGATATTTAAACCGCATTTTTCTCACACTGGGTTGACTTTAGACAAACATTGATCGAAACAAAATTTGTTTAGAATTATAGCAAAATTAATGTAAATAAATTAGTTTCGCATAATTCAGGTCCAAAATTTAATTTCAAAAACAACCAATTCGGCTTTTTTAGTCAATCAAAACTTACGCCAAAACTTTTATTCAATTGCTGCAAAAAATATGTCAAAGGTAGCTTCTTATGGAGACCAACAAAACTTTAGATGGGTATGATCTCCAACAATTGTCACAAAGCATCTATAAATTGTTTTCAAATAAACAATTGGTACTTTATATTGTAATATTGACATTTTTGTCCATCAAATAAAAATAACTCAGACGATCATAATTTTCTTAAAATTTGTTAAGCTACATAAGAGGCTCAAATTAAAATTTTCCAGCAGTTGAGCCAATAGTTTTAAAGTATTTTTTAATTGACTATGAAAGCCGAAAACTGTAGTTTTTGGGGTTTATTTTTGGCCCAGATTTTCGCAAAATAAAATTACATCAATTTGTTCTGCTAAAATTCTAAGCAACTTTGGTTTTCTTCACTTTTTGTCTAAGCTCAACCCAACTTGAGAAAAAAAGCGTTTTAAATATCAAGTTTCATTCGTTTTGTCCGGATAATTTAAATCAGCACTGTACTGCAAGTCAAGTTTTTTTTGTGTCGATCCTTTTCAATCCAAATATGCTACCAACTACAAGCTACACACTACCAAAACAGGGAGAATTTAAAGAAACTATTGGAAAACCTCTCACTTATTCAAAAAATTAGGCAAGAAATCAGCCAGTGCGGAACACAAGATACGATTTTTGGGAGCGTTTACTCATTGTAATTTAAATATCGATTGATTGCTATTATGGAAACATGTAATTAATTGTGGAAAAGACTTGTTGTGCAGTATTTAATTCCAATAAAGACAATCAATTTGATCTTGCAAAGTTAACAATAAGAGTGCTATCAAGATTATCCAAGGGTGACAGACTGTTCCAAGGACAGCACCTGCTAATAGATTAATAAGCACCACGTATGACAGTTGATTGAAAGCTTGCAATTTGAACTAAATAACACTATACGACATGTTATTAAAAACTTAACTCTTGAAATAGTTAGGTTTATGAATTTGCACCATTTTTTTGTGCTGAAGAATCATTCCGTTCTTACCGTCAAAAAAAATGCATAAGCAAAGTGAATTGACGAGCTTAACTACGTATGAGGTTTAGTTCTGCCATTTTCCCGTTTCACCCGTTTTTATGTATTAGGCCTCCTTTTGCCCATTTTTCGAAGGAAATTCGAATTATTTAATTTTGAATGCTATTTACGTTCTTTTCAGATGAATTTCAATTGAACTCAAAAAGCGCATTTTACGTAATATTTTAAGACTTTTTCCTGAAGAAAAAAACTTTAAAAAATCAGCAAGACCTATAAAAGAGTCTTCATTACGTTCATTACTCTTAAACAATTTATGATGTGATGATAGAATCAGCGCTGAAATCATGCATAATAATGACGAGGCAAATTAGTGGTTTTTGAAAAGAACATTTCAGAACATTTTTTTTGGTCAGCAATGTTTCGTTCTGACAAACTCTTGCAGAATGGTTCAAATAAACGTTGTGTTTGAGTTGTAAGATAATATAGGGCAATCGAACGTCAGATTTCACTCTCATATGAATTATGCAATGACTTTCAGACAGTTCGTGTAAATGGACTCAAGCAAATAAAAAAACTCTCTTGCTTGATTTTCAGAAAAAAAAAATATTGCCTTCGAGCACTTGGAAATGGGAGGTTCTTTTGTCCGGAAACTACGAGATTTTTGTAGTGTCTAGCGCTTTTTGGCTCCCAAAACAAACAAATGTCATTTCGGAGAAAATCAAATGATCTTTTTCCGGACTACAGTATTAAATATTTTGATTAATTGAAGAATAATTTTGTTCAAACGCAGGGTCGGATCTAGGATTCAGGCAAACTATTGATGAAACTTTAGATGACTGAAAATTTAATGACAACATGTTGATTAAGAATTACTGATAAGAAAAATACTGAGTGCTTAATTAAAGAATGAATAACAACTTTACTGACAACGATTTTTATCAACTAAAAAATCAATGAAGACCCTCTCCCTGGGCTAAAAAGGCTAAAGTTTTGTTTTATGTTTCAGTTTGATTGTTTTTTTTAGATCACTTCTTTCCCTCCTTTTCGTTCTGATTGATGAAATCAATCATCACCCCTCCCATTTTGGTCACCGCCGTTCTTTTTCTTCCGCTTCTTCTCGATGCTATAGATCCCGTGTCGTCCTGGCTATCTTCCTGGCTGCTATAGGATACCAGTCTGGCCTTCTTTGACGTTCCCTTCTTTTTGCCGGGTGCTTGCGTTGGTTGGTGCCCTGGATTTGATGTAGACTGATCCCTTGGATTTCTATCCAAATCGCCGCTGCGTGCTGGAATGGTTTCTTGGTCGCTTCCACTATCTGCATCCCTTTTTTGCATTGCCGTTGGATCTGCTTGTGCGATCTCTGTTCAAGCCTCCGCGGATGGTTGTTTTGTCCGTTTGACCGAAATAATCAGTAAGTTGTCACTATCTTCCGATTCAGAACCACTGTTCTCAAATCGGCGGCCGCTTTTCTCCCGTTGCTTCTATGGAGCAATCCTCTTTGTCGCCCGCTCTTTAACTTCCCGCGAAGTTGGCGGTGGCACAATTGATTCTGACCCTGCTTTAGTCTTCCTTCGTTTAGCTTTGTGGCCACCCCCGATTTCCTAAGCACAACCCCATTATTTAAAACCAACGTATGAGCGCTCTCTGCTTTAACTTTCGAATAAAGCTGATTATACCCTTTGAGGTTGCGGTTTCCAGTTTGCTGGAATAACAATCCAGAAGGTCCTGGTTGTCCACTGGGGCCCGAGGATTTCAAAATTGACGGTTCATCGTCTTGGTTGGTTGATTGCTCATGGGTCAGTCGGCGTGCGTGGCTCCCGTGGTTTATGTCGTACGCTAAATCCGATCGTACGGCCCAGTTTCTGTCTGCAGGGTGTGGCATATCGTTTGCATTTGGGTCGGCGTTATCTCAACAAGCATTTTTCGTTTTTATAACCCGCGACCAATCCAGATTATGCAGAGATGGTTTTTTGTAAGGTTTCGTAAGACCGTGTTCGCTTCTCGTCCATGATGCGCCTCGAATGGCGAGATTTTTAATGTTGCATTCTTCGAAAATCTGAGGGCGCCAAGGGCTCTTTCGATCATTTTTTTTCCAAGGGTTCGGGGTGTTTTTCTTGGACAAACGTCAGGATGGAATTTTTAAGACTACCTATGGTGCGCTCCACGCATCCAGTTGCCCGGTGATCATTAACAGGTGATTTTATTATTTCAATACTCTCCCCATAACAGAATGCTTTAATCTCATTCGACATAAAACTCGTTCCCTGATCCACGTGAACTTTCCTTGGCACTCCATGATTTGTTATATAGCTTTTCAAAAATTTCAGTATTTTATCAGATCGATTATTTCCACAGACCATTGCCGAGGGCCAACGAGAAAACCGATCAATCGCCACTAACACATTTTTCCGGGATTCATTTAAGTAGTTAATGGGCCCCCAAAATCCAGTTGAACTGATTCATTTGGTTCATTCGGTTCAGGTATTTTTCCAAGCTGATTTTTTCTTAAGATCGTTTTTAAGTTCTTACCGGCGGCGGTGCATTTGGGACAGTCCTCAGCTATTGAAGCTATTGATCGGTAAATATACGGGTACCAAACATCTTTTGCCGCATCAAACATGTTGGATTTTCCGTGATGATATGCATGAATTCTATTGTTAATCGCCGTTTGTAAGTTCATAGGTATTACAAGTTTTTCATCCATCCACACTACGTTCTCCTTCACCAAAAAGTCGTTAACAAATTGAGAATAATAACGTTTCATAGCATTAATTTTATCATGAATGTTAGGATCCTGAGAAACTTTAAGGTCGCGAATTGCGCTCAACTGGGGGTCAGAAATATAATTGGACTCTAGATTTTGAACTTTAGATTAAACAAATTCGGTAAAGAAGTGATTTTATTAACATCTTTGCAATTTCGAGGGATGATTGACATACATATTGAGTTGGGATCCACGGGTGGTATTGTTTCACCTTTGAATGCCGAGGGTAACGAAAGTGTAGTATTAGTCCGAACTGATTTGGTTTCTTTAGTAATAGCTTTCAAGGATACGGTGTTCTGTGTTAATTGTTCAATTTCATCACTACTACTGTCTAGACTTGGGTGCTGCTGTAAGAATTTCTGCCATTTCCTCATGTTTTTATCCATTTCGATTCGAGATTCTGAATTTTTAGATGTATTTGAGAGATTTAAACAACTTTCTTTTGATTGAATAATAGCACCAACTAATTTTCCGCGTATTTTGCATAGCCGTCGGTTCAAGCCATGTGTTCGATTCTGATTGGTCGATTCCCGCTCACATGGTTTTCCTACTTCTACCGGTTCATTTCGTGACGAAACGTTCAATCTATTTATAGATTGTTTACTTTCCGCTTTGATATGCGGTCCCTTGAATTGATAATTGGATGATTTGTATCCCCTGGATGCATTGTTTTTATTGAACCCGAGAGCGGCACGAATTAATTTGATCTTTGCCACAGTAAACATATTATCGTATGTACTAATTGGCGTTGCTTCATTACATGGATGACGGGATAAGTAGTCTGCTAGCCCAATTTTCGCCCCTGGTTTGTGTTCAATTTGAAAATAAAAGGGAATGAGTCGATCTAACCAACGCGTCAAACGGCTAAACATCGTCTTGTTTTTCTTATTATTACCGTTCAAAAGAGATATTAACGCTTTGTGATCGGTCACGATTAAAAAATTCCGTCCCAATATATAATTGCGAAAATATTCAGCCCCCCACACGACCGCCAACATTTCCAATTCATTCGTTGAATATTTTTTTCCGCTTCGTTAAGGTATCTTGAAGCAAACGAAATCGGTCTCCACCCCTCCGGTACTAATTGTTCAAGTACAGCACCGAGCCCGTTATGACTTGCGTCGCACACGATCCGAATATCCTTGTGGATATCGAAAAGTCGCAATTCAACAATATTAGACACTTGTTTTTTTAGATTTTCCAATGCGTTCTGGCATTCAGAAGTCCAAATATATTCATTATATCTACTTAGTAACGGTCGCAACGGCGCGGATGATTCAGCTAACGCTGGCAGATACTTGTGGACACTGTGTATTGACCCCATGAACGACTTGAGTTGAGTCAAAGTCCGCGGCGGCGTTTATGCTTCGATCGGTTCTGTTTTCCGTACCAAGGGAGATATTCCAGTTGATGTTATTTTGTGGCCTAGCCACTCGCATTCCCGTTGTGCGAACTTGAACTTTGATAGTTTTAGAGGCATATTTTCCTGATCCAGTTTTTTTAGAATTTTCTCTACCGTTGCTATATGGTCGATCGCGGTTCCCTTGGATACAACCAAAATATCGTCGATGAACGCATGAGCCTGCGGATATTCCGCAAGGATACAATCCATTTCGCGCTGAAATTCCGCTGGCTTCCTAGTCAAACCATAGAATCCGGTCTTGAACCGGTACGTTCCCGTCGATCGACCTCCGATGAGAGAAAAATTACATTGTACACTCGTTTCAGCGCTTAGTGGCAATTGACCATACGCATATGTTAGATCCATCGTTGTAAAAAATATATCCCCGGATTTTTTCTCGCTAATCGTTTGTCCTACTGTGTCCATTAACTCTTCAATATTCGGCATTTGATATTTGTTCTTATGCACTTGTTTATTTAGTTCCCTGGACTCGAGCGCTAGTTTTACAGACCCATCTTTTTTTTACCGTTATGACGATTGGGGACACAAAAAATTTATCCGAGCAATCCGTCAGTTTTTCGATATTCCCTTGTTTCAGTAGTTTATCGATTTCAGTATTCACCTTTTCTTGCAATGAAATGGGAACTTTTTTGTTGTACTGGGATGAGGTTTTCAAAAAATTCGGCTTGTACTTTATAATTTCTTATTTTCCCCAACCTATTGAAAAGGTTTGAAAACTGCTTACTGAGATAGGTTTGCCATGAGTCCAACTCCCCCTCTGGCATTGATGGTTCCGGATCCACTTCATCGATGGACATTATCTGGTCCCCTGGTGGTGATTGTTGCACCAACTGTAGTCCGAGCTGAGGGATCAAGTCTCTTCCAATTATCGATGGGCGATTTCCTCCTATGACTTTTATCCTTGCGTTTATCTTCCAGCCATTGGATTCTAACGTGACAGCCATCGCTCCAATCATCTGCAGTGGATTGTTCCCATAATCCCGAAATGCATTTTCCTACTCCGAGAGGGTATCCAGTTTTATCCCCGAAGCTCCCAAGGTTCTTCTCAATTCACCATTGGTGAGAATTGAAATTGGGGATCCGCTATCAATCCAAACGCGAGTAGAGTTTGGTTGGTCGCAGTTGTAGCATCGATTGTTTTGAAACAAATTTCCACCTCGGTTCGAGCCTCGCCATTGATATGAACCTCTGCCTCGTGCGCGATTATTGCGATATCCTCCACGGATCGTTCCAACCGGTTCTGATTTAATCTGAGTCCCACCGCCTGAAAATGATCCTTGGATTCCCAATGATCCCGTGGCGACATAGGATGTGGCATATTTGTTTCCGAGAGAGAAGCTGATATGTCTCGTATGTCTCATTCCTTTCCTTCTTGAATTCCGTTTCCAGTACGTCTAGCATCCGTGGGTAACGAACCGTCGAGAGATCCAGATGCGGTCGTCTTTTGTGAAGTCCGTCTTGTCCCTTTTCTCCCAGGCACAAATACAAATTTGAGATCAGAACTTGTTTTGAGTCCAGTCGATTCTTCCCATCCACTTCCTCGGGCAAAGCGGTAACTTGAGCGTCAGTGAGAGTCGCTGCGTAATAATAATTTTTCGGATTAATTGAATGTTTAGCCACCATTCCCCATTGGAATCTGTTGATCCAGAATTCCCACATCATAGGTGGTTCAGTACATTTTGCTGGCCAGAATCCTGTAATGCCCAGTGGATTCTTCCCCCCACCTGAGACTGCTGGCTGCGCCATGTTAAAAAGACTTGTTGTGCAGTATTTAATTCCAATAAAGATAATCAACTTGATCTTGCAAAGTTAATAATAAGAGTGGCTATCAAGATTATCCAAGGGTGACAGACTGTTCCAAGGACAGCACCTGCTAATAGATTAATAAGCACCACGTATGACAGTTGATTGAAAGCTTGCAATTTGAAATAAATAACACTATACGACATGTTATTAAAAACTTAACTCTTGAAATAGTTAGGTTTATGAATTTGCACCATTTTTTTGTGCTGAAGAATCATTCCGTTCTTACCGTCAAAAAAAATGCATAAGCAAAGTGAATTGACGAGCTTAACTACGTATGAGGTTTAGTTCTGCCATTTTCCCGTTTCACCCGTTTTTATGTGTTAGGCCTCCTTTTGCCCATTTTTCGAAGGAAATTCGAATTATTTAATTTTGAATGCTATTTACGTTCTTTTCAGATGAATTTCAATTGAACTCAAAAAGCGCATTTTACGTAATATTTTAAGACTTTTTCCTGAAGAAAAAAACTTTAAAAAATCAGCAAGACCTATAAAAGAGTCTTCATTACGTTCATTACTCTTAAACAATTTATGATGTGATGATAGAATCAGCGCTGAAATCATGCATAATAATGACGAGGCAAATTAGTGGTTTTTGAAAAGAACATTTCAGAACATTTTTTTTGGCCAGCAATGTTTCGGTCTGACAAACTCTTGCAGAATGGTTCAAATAAACGTTGTGTTTGAGTTGTAAGATAATACAGTGCAATCAAACGTCAGATTTCACTCTCATATGAATTATGCAATGACTTTCAGACAGTTCGTGTAAATGGACTCAAGCAAATAAAAAAACTCGCTTGCTCGATTTTCAGAAAAAACTATTGCCTTCGAGCACTTGGAAATGGGAGGTTCTTTTGTCCGGAAACTACGAGATTTTTGTAGTGTCTAGCGTTTTTTGGCTCCCAAAACAAACAAATGTCATTTCGGAGAAAATCAAATGATCTTTTTCCGGACTACACAGTATTAAACATTTTGAATAATTGAAGAATAATTTGGTTCAAACGCAGGGTCGGATCTAGGATTCAGGCAAATTATTGATTTAAAAAAAAACAGGCAAAAAGGCGTTTTTAGGCACTTTTAGGAAAATTTAGACCAAAAGGTTGCGTTTTTTTTGGCGCGCGCTCCCCTCCACAAAATTACTATATTTTGGCGCCCAAGGAGCCTTTTGAAACATTTTAGGGTCAGACAGCCAAAAATGGATATCTCAAAATAGTAGAAAGGGGCACTTTGGGTCGGAAGCCATCCTCTCCCCCCCCCCCTAAATCCGCTTGTGTTCAGACCCGTTCAGTAACACTTGAACAGTTAATTTTTCTTTACTATTTTACAGTTAAAAATGTGAAACATTGGAATTTAAATTTTCTGTAAATAACCATAAATAAGATAAAGGCATTGAAAGAAGGCGAATATTAATCGGATTGTTAAGTGCTACACATCATACCAACAAAATTACGAAATTTCAATTATTTAATTGTACTATTTATTTATTTCATTTAGCATCATAGATCTAGCAATCTTGTTGCTAGAATTAAACTACAGAGAAAGTTGTGCATCATTTATTAATGCAGTTAAGACACCAAGTAGCACCTTTTTCTATAATTTTGACTCAATGTCAAGAAGCCACAAAGGCGTTTAATATCAAATTTGCTTCAAGACTTGGGAAATTTTATTCATTAGAAGTTAGATATTTCGAGTTCCGAGAAAATCTACATCGAACAAAACTTTCAATATGCAACAAATGTCCTCTCACTTTCTATCATGAGTTTGTTTCCGATGTTTCATCGTCCTGCGCATTAACATGGATGATCAGCTGTTTTTTCAGATACTTCTCGAAATCTTCATTTGACTTTATGGACGATTCGCACAAGCATTTCTTGCGTGTTAGTGCCACTCGATTTTCGACCGTGAGCTTGGATGACTTCACTTCTTCGGGGCAGTTTTTGAACACTTTTTCGAGGTGTTGCAGCAAGGTGCTTTCGGCATCTTCTAACGCCAATTGCGCTTCGTTCACTTTCTGGCGTTGTTTATCCATCGACCTGCGTAGGTACTCCAGATCCTAAACAAGGCCAATATTTTAACATCGTCATAAAAAATAAAGCATCGTCATTCAAAAAGTACAATATCTACAAACAAACGCGGGATTAATAATAGTGACTGCTTGCTTTGCTTCACGAGGAAAAAACTGAACGATCGAAAGTCTTCAATCAATCAGATAGTTAGACGTTCCTATTTGTTAAATGGTTTCTGCACGAAATCGAATACAAAATAAGTGGAAAGTAAATTACAACAGTACAACAACGTTTTGTTGTTCAATTCGTTCAAATATATTAACTTTTTACTTTTGCTTTTTCATTTTCGCTATCCTATCGGTAAGTACCCTTGGAGTATTTAAGTTTTTTCCAATGGGTCTTCGATCTGGCATTATGTATCAAACTTTTTTTCAATCTGTCAATGTCAATTTTCTCGGCATGGGTTCATTGCTTGCTTTGAGATTTCTAATTTCTAGATTTTTGAAAACTCATTCTGATTGACTGAAATTAGATTTCCGTCAATAGGTCTCTCCATCATAAGTGACTTTTCGCGCATTCTGCTCTTTGAGCATGAGGCATTTGGGGATATTCTCATGCGCAAAGGACCGAATGGGCGAAAAACTCGTGGGCAGAAGACCGAAAACAAAATTAGCCGAAAGTCAATTTTTAAAAAGAATCAATTGCCATTCAATTACAATGAACTAAATGAAGCAACATTTTGCATCTTTCATAACGAAACCCTTAATTTATAAAATTTGTTCAAATTCGGAACAATTTTGCATACTTCTGTCGCTTTTATAATCGGCCAATATCAATATTAAGTCCCTGGTAATGTTTACTTTCTTTCAGATTTTCAGGTTTTTCTTAATTAAAGATAACTAAAATGTGATTGGCTGATTTTTATTTTCGCGAATTCGGTCCTTCGCATAAAAGAGGTTCCACCGAGGCATTCCATAAAAAGTGACGGCATCGACACCCGTCAATTTGCGCTTCAATTTGAAAAGATAATTCAACTATTATAATTTTCCTTAATTATGGGGGTTTAAAGATTGCCATTTTGCGCTATTAACGCGTAAGCGGAGATTTAATCCGTCTTAGAAATTGTTCCAAATTAGTTGAAAGAAGCTTATTTGCTATAAATGATATTTTACAAGGAGCGAAACTTATCCTTTTGTTCTTTCTAAGGGGAGAGGAGAGATCTAGGGGGACATTTAAATTTTTTAGGTTATTACTGCTCCATAAACTTTAAAAGGGAGTCGGAACCTTCAGGGCTTCGCCCTGATACGAGCAGTCTTGTTTTCAATAAATGTTCATTGAATGGAAAATGTGTTCATTGTATTGTTGTCTTTAGCTAAAATTTAAGAGATATTTCACAAGTGATCATTTTTCTTAAAGTTATAGGGTTAAAAAATTGCCAATTTGGGACAATTGACTCGCGATATAGTTTTTGCTATTAACGCGTAAGCGGAGATTCAATCCGCTTTGGACATCGTTCCAATTTGAAGTGAGGCATGCTCTATGGTCTATTTAATACGTTGCTGTTTGTAAAACCTATCATTTGGTACTTTTCTTAGAATATGGGGGATGTTTAACATAAGTCAAAATTGTGTTAAGCAACAAAGGGGGCCAGAAAGCGCTTCACAATAACTACGCTTACTATAAGAAAAGAGAGTTAGTCAATTCTATTCAGTGGGAGTGCGAGTTGCGTCGATCAAAGCAACAATGTAAGGCAAGCATATGGACTTCATAGGGCGAATTCCTCAAATCGTTGCCACATGAGCACACACACGGCCTGGACTATGCTTTAATGGAAACACATAACATTAACGAACAGATCAAAGCGGACGCAGCCGCCTGCACCGACTCTTCGACACAAAAGGTGCCGTCAAATGCCCTGGCGAAAGCCACACCAGAATGCTCCTCAACGATGCCGGTGGTGCCTCACCTCAAACGAAGGATCAGAAGAATCGGACATGAAAACCGTAGCCAGCCACTTATCCCAACAGGATTCGATTTTGAACTGCCTTTTAAATACATGCAAACCATGACTGGAGAGGCTTTTCTTCTTAAAGATTCAACAGTTCCGGGAACCGGTAAACGATATTTGGTGTTCGCAACCAACAAAAATATCGAAATATTAAACTCTTATGTGAGAACTGGTTTATCGATGGAATCTTTAAAAGCTGTCCTGATAACTTATACCAAGTATACACTGTCCACTGCTTCGTAGATGGAACAAATTTTCCAGGTATCTATGCCCTACTACCCGATTAACGACAAGAAACGTACAACGCTTTCTGGTCGAACTTAAAAGCAGATATCGTCTAGCTATACGTCTTTTAGCTGCTCTTGCATTTGTCCCGCCCTTAAATGTAGAAGACTGGTATGAACAAATACTAGTAAATTGCCACATTCCTGGCGACATCAAGAATTATTTTGAGGACACCTTTGTAGGCATTCCGCCGTGGATTCAAATCCATGCTCCAAATGTCAAATCCTGACATATGGAAACTCATTGAGGCGACTCAGTGGCAGAAGTCACTGCAAACTTTTAGTTTCGCTCAAATGCAGCTCGGCAAAAAAGTTCATACAAGGAAAGGGGATAAAGAGAATTGTATGCTCTGCCGATAACTACAAAGAGTTGGATTATCTTAAAGCCATAGCTGTTAACTTGTTCTTTTAGTTTTTAGTCTTTAATCTATCTTCATATTTTCTGTTAATTATCTTTCATCATTTAATTCAAGTTATAGTGTCGCTGTTTTATTGAATTCGAATGTGGGGGATTTTAAACTAAAAACTGGGGATTTTGTCCTACGGGGGATTTAGTCCTGGTAGATTATATCCGGTGGGATTTTATCCTGGGGATTTAGTCCTAGACCTGTGTGGGAGGATGATTTTCACCAAAAAATCTCAAATTTTATTTTTTTTTGTTTTATTGTACTATTTTTTTTGTTATTACTGCTCCATAGACCTTAAAAGGCAGTCGGAGCATTCAGGAGTTTGCCCTGATACGAGAAGTCTTGTTCCCTTTCATGCTTAAGGATTGCCCCCCCCCCCCCCATTGCAATAGGGGGGGATAATTATTAAGGTACAGAATTCGTATATGCTTAACTGTTCAATTCTTTTTTTATAGGGGGAGGGGAGATTCGTTAAAAGGTACCATAGGGGGGAGATAGTTAACAAGACCGGCTAATTTTTAATTTTTGGTGGTGTATAAACCAGCCGGCGTATAATATCAAACAGCCGCAAATACGTAAGTGTAATATTATAGTTATGTAACAATTATGTAACAGTTACGAAAGTGATGCAAATTTCATTTTTATGATGTAGCTTTTCGACTGTTTTATATACTCAGCCCATTTTCGCTTGGTTTATACTTCGGCTGGTTTATTTACTGTCTTTTTTTAGAGAAATTCTTGAGTAGCTTTAACTGATTATTTCTGTTCGAGCATTTGCAGCTTATTGTACCTTCTCCATAGACTTTTGAGATCTGACAGCGATCTGCAGCGTGGCCTGCTGTTGTTGCGATTTCTCCTCCTCCTCCTCCTCTCTTTCACTCTCCCCATTAGTAGCCTCCAGTTGGTCGTCCTGATTGGGGGTGGTGGGCTGGGAAGGGGGAGGGGCGAGGCTGCGTCTGCTTCTGGCACTCAACTCCCCTAGTCTTTGGTCCAATTTGTGCAGTCTAGTCTCCTCGTGGACTGACAGTTTGCAAGAAGTACAGAGACTCTCCAGGTACCGATTGAATCTCTTCACGTCACTCTCGCGGCCCGACTACAGCACAAAACACAACAGAATATTTTAAATTGAATTTCACATTAAATCTCACAGCAAAAAACACGTTGAAACAAGTTCATGTTGGAAGCAACACTTTGTATGGACTATCTGCTACAAAATTCTGATCATATTCCAGATACTTTAGAAAAAAATTGATAAGTACCAGTATGATTTTGGTTGCTTAGAAAAAGTAAGGTTGACAAATGGGTCCCATCATATTTACGAGAAGCCCAGAAACGCAAGATAACAACTACAAAATCTGTTTCCGCAGACTCTTAGACAATATTTTCTCCAAGGAAACATCAAATTTAGATTTTAAATAACATACCTTCATAAGTGAGCCTGCAATAGAATCAATTCACTTTGAACTAATTGGAGGGAAATTTCAGAGCAGTTTCGCTCAGAATACCAAACACCTGACAAACCACAAAGCTATAAATATGACATCTAGTGATATTAATTAGGCCCTACTTTTTGAAGAGCGGTGATGATTTGGTCGCACTCAGCTTGACTTTGGTCTAGTAGACTCCCACTCAAACTGGCTAGCTCCATCCTGTCCCGCGCCAGAAGATCCCCCACACGGTTCAACTGAAACACCAATCATTTCGAGCACTCTTCAAGAAGAAGAGCAATTACTTCCTGGTCGTTAAAAATATAAATTAAAAAATAAATTACTAATAAAAATTAGCAACTAAGAGGGAGGGGGGGGGGGAGGCTGAAGAACGCATAGGGGTTGCAAATAGTTTCACTAATTTTGATAGACGGATTTCAAAGTGCGTTTAAACGTCAGTTTGTGATGACTTCAAAAAAGGCGATGAAACAAATAAGAAGACAGAGCGCGATAGATAATCAGCTCCCTCATGAGCAAAAGTTTCGAATTGAAGTACATTTCTTTCGATAAAAACTCAACACTAAACTTAAAAGACTGCCCTCAAACGGTAACTTGTATTAAAAGAACATAAAATTAAAATTGCAACACTAGAATTAATTTTTATTTTATTAATTAAAAATTTCTGGCCAGAGAACTTAACTGTTTCAGAATTTAAGTTTTTTTTAGTGTTTTTCCATAAAATCCTTGAGTAGAAATTGATGAAAAACGTATTCGGATGTCAACATCGGAACAGTATATGTATAATATGTACTCACGGCCGATTGCACTTGTTCTCTGTCTGCCTCGGCGACTAGGTTGTCCAAACTTGTAGCACGCGAGGAGAGAAGTCCACCAGCTGCAGATATGCTAAGGTCCTCGCTACACCCAACATGCACACATGTAAATTACCTTCGGATTCCTAACTACTTCCGACTCAAAATAAATAATTGTTCCTTGGCTTTGACTGTTAATCAATCATCAGGAGGGTTTAGTCGCTTCACACGTCAACTCGTAAAAAAAGCCACATGACACGTCAAAATAGACAACACAACTCGTTTATTTTAAGTTAATTGACTACTCGCAAAATTAGTAATCTGACTGAAATTATCTTTTTAGTTTCCTTTCTCAAATCAAGTAAGATAAGCGCATTATACGATACCACTCGAGTCGAATGTAAGCGAAGTGGAGCAAGCATTCATATGTAACTGATAGATGCCTACATGATATATAGGCTGATATATAGGCTACATGCCTATTCAACCTACTGATACATAACTCAGCGAAATTTCAGTTTCATTAAATTGCGAATTTTCAGTTTCCTTAAATTTTATGAGTCGTCGAGTGTGGGGGTACTTTACAATCTTGGGTGGGGGTACTTTAACAAATTTTCAGGTTCCTTAAATTTTATGAGTCGTCGAGTATGGGGTGGGGGTACTTTAACAAATTAACTTAATTGGTCGCTCAGTATTCAACCAAATCAATCAGATGCAAAACAGATGATCATTTGAGACCCAACCTAGTCCTAACATATGGTTTTTTCTTACCTTAAAGAGTTATATCATCAATCAATTTTAACTTGCTAAAATATTTTTGTTAAGTAAAAGATTTTAGCTTAACCGTGCCTTGATAGTTTCAGACAGGCAAAGATCGTTTTCTGAGTTACAATTCGTAATCAGAGATCTCTTGTTTGAAAATTTTTACACATTCATCCGTAGAATGGCATGGAATGGTCCAACAAAGATCCAATAACAAAAATGAGGACAAAGAAGAGAACTCAACAGCAAATGCTAAGAACTAATTTACCATTCAATGCAAAATGCGAATCATCTTACGGTGTTGTGGGCGTCATACTTTCCAGGTCATATCTATCTACTATGTTGCGGTGTAATAATAAACAGAAGAAGCGTCCACTTCATAATGCAGTTACGGTTTAAATATAAAGCGAGTGCAAATTTCAATTTCTCGATTTTTGAACAAAAATGTGCAGAAAAGAAAATCTAGTTATAATCAGCAAGGTATTTCTTTTAGATTAAATCACCCAGTATATGCCACTAAACAGCTCAGGGCAGACCTAATGTTTCTAGGAGTAACTTCTCTGCAAGACGGATATACAAAACCACTGAAGCACAATACGCAATGACAACAGTTGGGAAACCGTTCCGAATACCACTGAACCCGGTTAAACAGTTCAAAATGAGTTCCACTCAACAACAGGAAACAACACTCATACAGCAGTGTCGAAAGAAAACAAGAGTTTGAATTTCGATTTACTGCTGCTGGATTAATCAAAAACAAAACGGTTGCGCTGTTGAGAGGTGCGATATACTCTGATAAGCTCAGCCAAAGGAGTTATTTTGTGACAAAATTCATACAAAAACTACTTAATACAAGACATAGCCAACAGACAGTTGGAAAATAATCAGGAACCCAAGTAAAAAGAATAAAAACTGAACTTTTGAAGCAGAAAAATACTGAGTACTAAAATTTTTGACACAAATCTCGACTTTCGAACTTCGAATAAAAAATAGATGCCCTAAGAACTCTTTGAAATTCTAGAACATTTTATGATTGGCATATGTTTGATGAAAATAACCCAATTTGAAAAAACTGGATCAATAAGTAAAGTTACTATTTCGCTGCGAAATCTGATAATTAAATTCCACTTTCGAAAATAGAAATCGATCATATTTATCGTGATCTTTACACTTGTTCTGTTCGACAGTGGAGCTTGCCTTCCTTCTAAAGAAATGAATTGAGCTTAAAAAAAGTCAAACCAAAAAAAAGTAAATTTGAGCCCGATTTAACTTTCGCTTGGAATTTGAGCCCGAGGTTTTTGTCGCTTGGAAAATTAACATATATTTACAAAACTATAAGGCAATAAAGTTTTTTGTTACCTTTAAACGCTTGCAGTTCGAGCTGGATAAAAAAATGCGAACGTTTTTTTTCAAGCTTGTGTCGTTTTTTCTGCGTGGGGTGTTAGAAAAATCTGAACGAAAAATAAAAACAAGGCATATTTCACTGTCATAGTAAAACAGGCAAATTGAAAAAGCAGTTTTTGTTTAAAAAATTACCAGAAAAACGAAAAAAAATTGGTTATTTTTTAATTTTCAAAATTTTTAAAATTTGTTTCTGGATTTTTTGATCTTTTCGATACATAATAGGATGCTAAAAACTAACTTAACTTGAATAAAACCAAACTTTCAGGGCTTAAATTAAGCATAAATAAGCAAATGTAAGCCTGCTCACTGGCTCGAATTTAGACGAAAAATCAAAAATTTCAAACCGGTTTTTGTCGACACTAGAAAAAATTTCGAATCACGACTGAAAGGGCTTTGATTTTAATATGGTATATCGGTGTCAGGACTATTTGCCCCAAGTCTATTGGCCCTGCAATAATTTTGCTCTTTCCCTCACCCCGCCCCCTTTTCCGGGTTACCCAGTATAGGGGGTTTTAGGGGCGAGGCAGTACCTGCGGTTTTCCGTTTCATTGATTTCAAACTAAATTTTTTTGACTTCTTCAAGTTTTGAACTCTTGACTTCTTGATTAAGAGTGTTGAGCACTATTAACTATGCTATAGGAGCTTACAAGAACTGCAATCAATCTTTTGAAATGTTAAACTCGACATGGAAATTGCATTGAAATTTTGCCGCTTTTATTTTGTTCATGCAAGCTTTGAACTCATTTTGATTCAGCACATGTTTTAATGATTCCGCATTTTGTTTCGAGCTTAATTGTTCAACAAAAATATCTTTCATCTTTATGTCGACATTATGTTCTACGAGGATATCTAAGAATCAGGGGCAAGTTTCATTTTTTATTATCTGGGACAAGATGGCATTGGACAAGTTGTCATCTGGGGCAAGTTGGAATCGGACAAGTTGGGCTGGGACAAGTTGACTTGGGGAAAAATGACATGTAACCGATAGATCACTCAACCCAGTTCGATGATTATTTGTTCTACCTGATATAACGTGGAAAATAAAGAAAAAAAACTAAAACAATACAAATTTCAATGGTCGGAAGAAAAAATGTCAAATTGTCCCCTCAAGATTTGACCCGCCGACCTTCAGTATTGAAGTTCAATGTTCAACTTAGCCACAGCATGCATGTTCATGTCGTTCAAACGCCACCCACCAAAAAACGGATAAAACTGATTTATTTTTCTAAAGCAACACGTAAAATTCAGCACTTTTGTTGAGCTCCAGTTTATGCAATATGGTTAGAATAAAAGAAATCGCAATAAAACACAGGCGTGATTGTATAATTATCAAAGAGCACAACTCCAGCTCCACGTGAAAATTTTATTTCAAGAGAGATATCAAAAACAAAGAAATGAGTGTAAAACGAAGTCACAAAACCTTCAGAAAAATATTTTAGGTCAAAACCTATTTTATAGAAAACCTTTTACAATCGGAGAATCTTTTGCCTGTTGAAAGTATCGAAAAAAAAACAGGTTTAAGGCGCAGATTGTCTAAGAGATTTCTTCAAAATAAACCCATCTTTAATGAGAAGTTATTTGGGAGTATCTAACCTTTAGAATCTAAATAATTTAGAGTCAAGGATCTTGTTAACTATCACCCCCATGGTACCTTGAAACGAATCCCCCAACCCCTGTAAAGAAAGAATTGAAGAATTCAGCAAACTTGATTTTTTTACCTTGTTTACTACCCCCTCCCCCAATAGGGATGTAATAGTTAACAAGATCCAGAGTCAATTTTGAAGGATTGGTAAAACATTCTACATCCGCAAAAAAAAAATCAAAAAGCAGAAGTTGCCCCCTCGTTGTCTTGATTAACTATTTATAGATGATGCTTTGTGAAACATACCTGGTTTTGTAATGAAGAAATTGACCGATTCACCAATTAGCGCAATGTACACAGCACATATAACCTCAGAGAAAATAAATTTAATCTTGTCAGAAAATACAGAGGCTCAAATTGTTGCGAAAATAAAATTGAGTGAACACGGCGATACTTTGTTTATAAAAAGAGCGGTGGCTCGGGGTTAAATACCGTGGTTATTTAACCACTATGTCTTCGGGCGCTCTCGGGGAAAATCAAACCAACTCCGGAACTATGACTAATTTTTCTGGGGACGTCACCAGTAACAAGTTCATCGGCGAAAATGCACTAACTTAATGCGAGCGATCAGAACAACGGAAAACAAACAATATACAAGACATTGGAACAGCCAAATTATTTAAAGTTGACCAGTTAAACCGAATAATTCACCATTTATGTAAATGCTTTTGAATCCCATAAACGAACGCACAAAAAAGGAATTCTCACCGAGCATGATTTGATGTTTCAACAAGAAGACTTTGATCAGCATTTTGTTCACCAACTATTCGTCATAATTGTCTCGAAGCGCTAGATAAAACCTAACTTTAAGAAGCAAACTTCGCTACTGGCAAATGCAGAATTAAAATGTGGCTATTCATCGTGCCAATAGTGAAATATGAAGACTAAATTGTTTCTCTCTCATCTCATTGAGGAAAGATGTTAACTTGGCGTGTTGGTCAGTGTTTGCAGAATTAAGGGTGAAGGTTTTCTGCAGTGTACAACCAAATTGAAGAACAACAACACATGACTTGGGTTTAGAGAGGAATGAATTTTTCCAAAATGCAACACTGAATACCATAAAAGCTCAGATCAGATTTTATTTAAGTTGTCAAATTTAATTGTTATGCAAAAGATTAGAAGGTACAAAAAGCACTAATCGCATTGCTTGCTAACCTTGACACCGTGGACCAAACGCTCCAGTTGGACCCTCGTAGGTCGACCAAACTTCCCTTCATCAGAATGCTGGAGGTTATTTCATCAGCTGAAGCTTTCTGAACCCCGCTGGAATGGGATCCCAAAAATGAACTCAGACCGCCCACTCCAGAATCTTCTGTCAAATCATTCACATTCGATATCTCACACAGATCCGCCACAGACTTCGAATGACGTCTGCTAATTGCACGTTCGAGTTTAACTTCGCTTCTGTCCAAACTTTCTCGAGTATTTTCCAGATCATGCTGAATAACTGTATGATTCTCAGACTCCGAAGAAGGCTTCTCCGCTCTGATGATATTTTCTGTCGACTTCGCAATTTTAGACCTCAGTGAATTGTCTCGTTTGCTTACAAACGACGTCCTTGACCGTTGTGATTGAGAAGCCCGAAGCGAGTCATTCTGCTTTCTCAGAAATCGATTTCTCGCGATTTGGAACTGGGTCTGGGCCGATCCTGCCAAGTGTTCATCAGCATCATCCTCTGTCGTTATGTCAATTTGAGGTATCTCTCCCCCGTCGGAAACATCTCGACCGTTCCCACTATCTAGACTACTATCGTTTACATGTCGAGTCGGGATTGTATTGATAGTTTTACTCCTTCGCGAACCAGTCGGGGAATTTTGTTTTTCGTTGAAATCTCCGAATCTGGAATTGGATATCGGATTCCAAGATGCTAGCGCCATTTTTGAAGATTCTGCCAGTACCGTTCTTTCGATCGAGATCTGCGAACCAGGTATATGGCTCACGTTTTGTAAGATCCTATTTGATCGTGAATTTGTTGGTTGTTTATTTTCTGAATCTACCGATGTCTCACCGTAGTCAATATCATCCAAATCATCCAAAGCTAAAGACCTGCCAAACAAAATTCTTTAGTATGTAATATACTAAATAGAAACTGTCTATTTGACGTAACAAATAATAAATGTTCTCTATTTGGTAAATTTTCAGCAGTTATGCTGAATATGCATGTGAAAACACCGGCCGATAAAATTAATCACAGTTGGTAAAAAATGTTTGATCAAGTTTTATTTTCACGACTAGACTAAAACTGTAGTGGCTTCCAACAGCAAAATTTTCTTCTCACTTTTATTAACAATTTCATTTATGCAGATCAAATTCAAATAATGAGGTTACAATACGCTATCAATGAGAATCAAGGTCAACCTTGAATGCTCATCCAATTATGAGAAAGTAGTAAGCAAGATACCTGTTCGTCAAAGATACACCACGAGTTCATAATCTTAATCTCTAAATCCAGGCTGTGACTTAATACAAAACCTGAATGTATTGCACTTAGCTATCTATTAGATTTAAGAGATAGCCAGTGAGAAATAAGTGAGGTTGTTATTGTTAATAGGTTGTTATAAGAGTTGCTCACATTCTCAGCTTCTTGTTGAAATCCTCAGAAGATCGGTCTTGGTCGGTTCTTCTAATGCATGCCATATTCACATCCTAAAATATAGCAAACGATTGACCTGGTTTTAATATCCCGTAAATCCTATTTTTTCAATCTGTACAATACAACTAAGACATTTAACCTGCTAAATCGAACCAACAACAACGAAACTATTAGTTCCATAATTGAATAGCTTGCCTCAACTAATGATTTGCTAATTGCAATTATAATTACATATCAATTACGCTAACCTCCAAAGATGATGATTCGATGAATGATAGGCCTCCATTGGAGTCCTGGTCACCCGAGAGGAGCCGCGACTTGTTTGGTCCGATCGAAGATATGAGTGATTCATTGGTCACGTGGCTGTCGTTTAATCCTTTTACTCCACCTCTCACCGCTCTCTCAACCATATTGGGCTGGGGATCCGACCGATTACCGAAGCGAACTTTCACCGTCTCCTCTGAAGCTTCCTTCAGTTTCGACGGATCTGAGAGAAACCTAGTTTGATATGGCGGTTTATCCGACACCGAATTACATCCCGAATTAGCTACAGTTCCAGCATTTCGAGACAAAAAGTAATTCCTTCGATTGTAGAAGTACTGGTTATTGTGCGACGTTGATGATATTCCAGCTTGAGCTTGTACTATCTGCTCCAAATCCTGCCCCGGAAGTTCCATTTCACCCGGTAAAGGTGTCGACGATAGAAAAGGTTGTGGGATCCTCTTTCGACCACCTGGCACTTCTGATGGCTCATTAGCATTTATAGAAAAGACTTTTTGATCACACGATTGTGAGACATTTATACGCTTAGAATCCTGGTCAATACCTGTCGGCGAATCGTCGCAATGAGAAACGCTTTTCGATTGAAACTTTTCACCTCGTTCGCTGTATGCGTTTGTCACTTTTCGATCCAATTTTTGCTCAAATTTAGTTTGCTCACTTTTCGGATCATCAGGTGAATCAGAACAGAATTCGGTTTCCGAGCTTCGTCTTGTAAAGTGGAGGAGCGACTCACTTCCTCGTCTCGCGTACAGTGATTTCTCTGGAGGTAAACTCGGCAACGGTTTGTGGAATGGCGAGTAATCTGACTTTTTCGGAAGGCTGCTCCTTGCTGTTTCACTCGGACTCGTTTTCGAGAAGTTCAAAGGGTCGACAACAATTACTTTCTTAGTAACAGGCAGCTGGGAAATTTTAGTCGATGAAGGTTCAACTTGATCAGACGTGTTTGTTAAAGATGGCGGATTTAAAGTACTTAGGTTATTGATTTTTTGTTCGGGATATACAAGATTGGATGCATAGTTGGCAATGTTGATGGACCTGGAAGACTCTCGCGCTGGAATTGGCGGCGGAAGGCTCGGATCTGGAAGCGAATCCAAAAATGCTTTTTCTGATTTTGATTTATCATTTTGTTTGGAAGCACCGGTAGTTGATATGTAGTAGTTGTTATTGGCTTTGTCCAGATCACAGTTTCGTGTTGTAATAATGGGATCGGGTCGGATCCAGGAATCATTGAGCTCTTCGCTGACTTTGAGGTTGTTATCAATTCTTGTTTTGAGGGACAAATCGGTTGAATAATCGCGCTCTTTCAAAGTAGCTAAAAAGAGCTTGGATAAAAACAAAGAAAACATGAAAACCTTAGACATTTTGGCAATATGTTAATAAAAATCATTTCAGTCGCCAAATTGTGAGCAGTAAAAACAACTGTTTAAACTCATTACCAACTAATTCCGAGCCGAAATAATTTATTTTGCTGAAAACCAAACAAAAAAAGTCAACAGATAGTTTTAACGACCAATTTGTCCGTGTTTCAAAGACAAATTTTCTGGAGGAAATTTTCATAAAATTACCCTAATTCAATAGTGGAAATTAATTTTCAGTATTTCCAACAGAGTACTAAACCTAGATGTAGCTCCCTTTTTTTAAATTGGGTTAATTAATGAAAAATTTATTCAAATCTTCTTTTTAAAACTCGGAAAAATCAGTCGTTTTAACTGAGTTCCAAAGAAAAAATTTTTTAGACACAGAGGCGAAGCAGAGCTTCGCACCACTTGCTATACAACACAATCATACAAAGCAGTAGTCGAAAAAAAAGAAAAAAAATGGTGAACCAAATCTTTCGCAAGTCTCGATGAAGGACAGCTAGTGCACAGCTAAAGTTGGAGGTACGGGCTTGATATTTTTTGAATTTGTACTGATGCGTGACGAAACGCGTAATTTCAAAAATTGGACCTGCCCAAAACCTTAGTTGTTTTTTTAAAATAAGTAAAAGGGGTGAAATTTTACCAAAGACACAACTTTTCTCTTACAAAAACTAAGGAGTAACCACTTCTGCAGGAAAAATTTGCGCATCCGCTTTTGTCGATTGAAATTTTCATCTCAGATTTATAGGGTAAATTTTAAGAAAATTCAAACGACTTCAAGCGAATTCCATAACTTTTTTCTGCTAAAGGCAGGCCGTGGCCGGTAAAGACGAGAAGAATTTCAAAATCGGGTTTCTCGATTGAACACTGAGCATTGACACGGTAATTTTCGAGTGGAGTCCAAAAGTTTTCAAAAAAAACGGTCAAAATTCCAAAACTTTTACTGTTTTGAAGGCCATAACTTTTTTCTAAACGAAACTGGGCGTAGCAAATTATAAATGTAAGCTTACCACTACCTGTTGTGTTGATTAAACTTATGATATCAGATTTGTCAGGATAGTTATGGAGAAAAGTCCAAAATCGGTCAACAAATCAGAAAGTTGACCATTCCGAGAAGAACAACTTTTTATTTAGAAAAAACATGGCAGAGCCGCTTTTGCAGATGAGATTCACCCAACCTGTATTTCGGTTGAACCCAAAAAAAAAAACAGGTTTGACAGATTAGTTTGCGAAAAGTTTCAAAAAACGGTCAAAAAACCAAAATTTTGACTTTATCTTGGGTCATCGCTTTTTTCAGTTGAAAAAAAGTGGGCGTAGCCGCTTCTGCAAAAAAGCTACTATCAATCCGTTCTTTGGATTCAACCCAAAATCTCAGATATGGGGGGTATTAATTAGGAGTAATAGAAAAAAAACGCTCAAAAAATGGACTTTTCGGAGGACGATAACTTTTTGTGTGTGGCCACTAATACAGGGGAGCTTTCTACTACCCGTTATCTCCATTGAACCCACAACCTCAGGTTTAAGAGGTTAGTTTCCGAGGAAAAGAAAAAACCAAAAATATCGGTCAAATAATCCCCCAGACTTTGTGGAAGACTATAGACAAAGACTGTAGACAAAGAATGTAGGCGGTCTTTCTATGGATATCCTTTTTTGAAAATTGCTAGGAAGGTTTTGGAGAAAAAAACACTTTTTTTTGGAAAAAGTGATAAAATTTTCCAAAGCGTCTCAAAATAAATTAAAAACGTAGCCAACTGACAGTGGGAAAAGAGTAATGAACGCAATGACACTGAATTGTTTTTTCTTCCCAAATCATCAACTTTTGAATTTCAAAGATAAAAACTGATGCCATAAAGCTCTTTGAATTTATAGAACAATTTATGATGGACACTTTTTTGTTATAACTGACCCAATGATTTGAAAAAACTGGATCAATAGGTAAAACTTTTATTTCGCTGAGAAATCTGATAATTAATTTCCATTTTCGAAAATAGAATTCGGTCACAACAAAAGAAATGCACTGAACTTAAAAATAAATCTCAAGTCAAACCGCGAAAAATCAAAATTGAGCGTGAACAAATTTTAAGACTTTTCCTGAAAAAAAAATTAGCAAGACCTATATAAGAGTACTCACTACGTTCATTACTCTTAAAAATCAATCCCAAACATTTTCATAATACCCGTGTTAATCAAACCAGAATTCTAGGCAAACATGCCCATCAAGACTTTAAATTCAATTTCGCAACTGAAAAAAAAACTTATGAAGCGGAAACAAGGCCGGCAACTGGTTAAATTAGTTGTTAACCCGAAAAACGTCTACATTCCGATTTGATAACGCTTGCTAATCGCAAGCGCTAAAAAAAATAAAATTAACCCAAATTAAGAATTTTGGAGCAACATCTAGATTTTATATTCTGTTGGGGATACCGAAAACAAATTCCACTATTAAAACTAAAAGTCAGACCTGTAACTTTTTGCAGATATTTCACTATTAGAGAACGTATGCAAATAATTAGGCATAGAAAACTGATAAAAAATCTATACAACTTTTTTCAACAGGAAACAACTATGACCCATTTTTTTAAAACACAGTTATCATTCGAGAAAACTCATTCTACAGAAAAATTCATGGATCTCTAGTACCTACACCGTTGCAAAAAAGAATCAAATAGTATTCCAACTTTAAAACATTGCCAACCTGACGCTTTTTGAATCTCGAAGACAAAATTAAATAAGGTCAGAGCTCTTTGCGAATCGTCTATGATTTGAAACATCAAAAAACACTAACCAAATTAGAGAAAACTGGGCTTAAGTATTTTCTTTTTATCTGCTGACTGACAAACCCTGAAATGCGTTTATTCAAGCTCCTGCTCTTAAAAGTTGGCGACAAAACTAAACGAACATAGCGCATGCTACATATAGAGGCCAATCGGAGCTTCACACCATTTGCGATACAGCACAAACATAAAAAAGTCCAAAAGAAAGAAAAATGTTTAAAAAACTAGGCGAAACAAAAATTTCGTTTGTCTAGTCTCGATGAAACATAACTAGGGGCCCAGCTAAAGCTGGAGGTAGTTCTTTGAAACTTTTTAAATTCGTTTTACTGAAGCGGCATCAAATGAGTTATTTGGTAATTTCAAAAATAGGACATTGCCCAGAACCTCAGTTGTTTCTCTACTAAAATAAGGAGAGTAAAATTTTTTTTGAGATATTGGAATTTTCCCCACGAACGTAACATCTGTAGGAAAAATGCTCGCAACCGGTTCTTTCGATTGAACTTTTCATTTCAGATTTGATAGCGTAGTTTTTAAGAAATGTCAAAAATTTTCTAAAAAACGGTCAAAAAAATGCAGTTCAAAACTTCACGTTCCGAAATCATAACTTTTTTCTGGTAAAAATCAATCGAGGCCACTCCAGTAGATATAATTCCCAAAGCCAGCAACAGAAAAAACCTAACATCGACTTTCGGAAAAAACAGATGTCCTTAAAGCTCTTTGAATTTTGAGAACTTTTTATGATTGACGCTTTTTGATATATTCGACTCAATTGGAAAAAAAGGATCAATATCTTAAATTTTTATTCTGCTGGAAAATCTAAAAATTAAAAAGGAAAACACTTTCGAAATTAGAAATCGATCACGTTTTTTGTGACCGTAGTACTTTTGCTGTTCGATAGTGGAGTTTGACTTTCGTTCAACAGAGGAAATGAACTGACCGTCAAAAGAAATGAAAATCAAACCGCAAAAAAATTAATGTAACTTTTTCCTTCAACAAAAAATCATCGAGACCTATAAAAGACCCTTCACTACGTTCATTGAGTTATAATAAACTAATTAACAACTGTAACTCAATCCAGTTTTTTGCGCCATTTGCACTTTTGATAGTGGAGAGTGATCATTGCCGTTCATTATTTGTAGAAAAAATCAAAAGACAAACCATGAGTAAAAACTGAGAAAGAATATATTTGAATTTATCCATTAACAGAAGGCACAGACAAAACCAGAGCAAACTTGGCCTTCCTTTTAGCTAATGAATTTGTTTTGAACTGAAAAAATTCAAAAGTCAAACTGCAAAAAATGAAATTTGAACCTGATCCCGAAAAAAATAAATAGCCAACAGAAAGTTGGAAAATGGTCAATGGAAGGAAACAGGAAAAAATTGAGTTGTTTTTTGTAAAAAAAAAAAAATTTCAACTTTCCTATTTCAAATTCAAAAATATATGGCCTTAAGGCTCTTTGATTTTTTAGAAAAATTAACAATTGAAACTTTTATGAGAAAATTGATTCAATTTGAGAAAACTGGATTAATAGGTAATTTTTTGCTGGGAAATCGGACCTTTAAATTCCATTTTTGAAATTATTTCCAAAAAAGATCATCACGACCTATATAAGAGTTTGAACTGCGTTCATCGTATCATAATAACGCCAAATTTATGCTGGTTTTATAGCCGCATTCAATTTTATGTAACAAAAATTAATCGTAACTTATGCCCGAATCTTAGTTTCCGACTCTCCTCCAACAGATTTCTCCGATTCCATTGCTTTTTGCTATTAAAGTCAGATCATTATTTATTTGTAGTTCAATCTAATTTGTAGAGCATGCAATTTTATGCTGTCTTTTGGACTAGCCGTCGTGTTTGGAAATTTTCTTTGATGTGTCTGATTAATGGAACGGAAGAAAAAAATGCAGTCAGTCATAACCATGAAGCTCATGAGCTGTCATCTTGATCATACTGCAGTTAAATCAATGACTAATAGAAAAAATGGAAGCAAAGAAGTTATTTGACCATAATCAATTGCGACAGTTGCTATCAAAGCAAACAATTTCCAAAACTATAATATTGAGCTTCTTGCCTTTTTCAAACAAATCGAGATGCACAAAGTTCTGGCTTTTCCTACTGTTATTTTGTGGATTTGCATCTGAAGGATATACTCCCCGAAATCAAAACATGAGCTCAGCACGATAACACAAAAATTTGAGCACTAATAGAAATAACCATGATCAAGTTTTTTTTCACCATGATCAAGTTTTATTTGATTATTGATGAACTTGAAGGTTTGCCCCCTCATTTTGGTATTATAGCTGGTTGATTTTTTTGACGGTAACTCTCTTCTCCTCTGGCGAGAAAGGAAAAGGTGATTTTTTCTTAATAACTACACTTATTGACGCTAATTTATATTTCCATATCTGGTTTCCATATCGCAGAACACAGACGCATTCTAATTCATATTTTAACACACGAGCAATCGGAGCGAATATCAAAAGTAAAACTAACCAAAATTTTTCAAAGAACTGTGCTGATACCGAAAACAAACTTCTTCATATACTTGGTTTCACTAGATTACTTCTTGATACGAAATGTAATAATACCGTATTACCGACGGATAATACCTTATGTCAAAATCCCACTTATCGACATTTTAGAAACAAGGAACGCATTGCTATAACTCGCGTCAGTTGTGAATTACAGAGAAGGGAGAGTTACTTACTTAATAAATTGCTGGCATTATTGATATGGTTAAGTTTGGCAACTGCCCTTGTGTTCCGCGACCACACGCCATTTTGCGTCAGCTCCGCCACTGCATTCATACTGCTCCTCCTTGTTGGTGGCATAGGAGCACGAGGTCCACAATTCAAATCCCGGTCGGAAATTTTTTCTGTTTCTACAAACTTAGGGTCACCATAAGAGCTCACGCTAGCACCATTTTCGATATAATTAGATTTCTGAATAATAGTTTTTGAATAGTTTTGGTTTGGTCGCTGAAACTCTTGGTCTTCAAATTGGGTAAAGGTTTCGTAACTTCGACTTTTCTCTAAATTTCGCTTTGATTGCGATTGCTGGAATAAACTTGAAGGCGAGTCACTTTTTACAATAACTGATCTTCGTTTAAGATAATCTTCTGGCACTAAAATTTGATGCGGCGATTTTGAATCAAAGACTCTACATGTGGGTAGAACATCGGAAGATCCTGCGCTTTTCTGGACAATCTCTAGTGAGTAGCCCAAACTGTGGCGCCTCGGATAAACACTATAGGCCGGAGCCATGAATTCATCGTCATATTCATCTTCACTTGAAGATGAACTGTGATTTTCTTCCACTTTTTCAATAGCCTGTCTTTGCTTTTTATCGGTGAACGAATACTTCAGCGCTGATTGCAGAGGCGGTTCGTAAGCACTCCTCGATCTAACGTGGTATTTCTGCTGGTCTATTTCTAATCGATCGCCAATCGACGTTTTAGCGTCGCTTTTCAAGTCTGAGGAATTGTTCTTGGTCGGTGCCACTGAGTGCCTCCATTGTGGGGAATTACTCGGGCGTAACATATCGCCTGCTGCAACAATCGACTTTTGTTCTGTTGTTGTCAGACTAGATATTCTTCCCTGAGTCAATTTATTCTTATACATATCAGGCTTGTTATGTCTTCCGTTCACGCGATTATTTCCAACCGGGTAATCTTCATGAGGATTTTCGTCTTCTTGGCTACAAAAAAGGTCCTCGATATTATTTTCATTCACAGTGTAAATGCCATCGTAGCTTTTACGTCGAAAATAATCAATGATTGACCCAAAAAAATGGTAAGGTCCGCTTAATAAATCCGTCATTACTGCGCGAATCACGGTTTTATGTATTCATTATATTATGATATAACTAAATAGTAATCTCTCAAATTTTTCATTCGATAGAAATTTGTTCTCAACTAAAACAGCTACGATTGTAAAAGCTCATTTGGGCCGATATAGTAATCGAGTTAAAATAAAAGCCGTAAAGTTAAATTGACATAGTTAACAGCTGTGCTCAAACAGTCTTGGTACGAAAATTGGTATTTAGTAGTCCAGTTCGCCCAATCCAACGGGCTGTTGGACCAATTCAGCTATTTGTATAAAATAATTAGAAGCAGCAATTATCTCTCGTCAGAATCATGAAAGCATCAAAACTATCCTTTCATTGTTCTGACCATTTTCGAAGACAACGACGGAATATTTGTGCCCAAGGTGATTTTTTTCTCCAAACAAATATCGACTTTTTAACTAGCAATTTTGAAACGGAACTTTTTTATATCACTCAGAAGGTATTGCTGTCCTGTGCTGAAATTTAAAAAGATATTTCACCTGTGGTTAATTTTCTTTAAGTTATATGGGTTTCAAAATTGCTAATTTGGGCGTCAGCTGAGATTTAATTCGTCTTAGAAATCGTTTCAATTAAATTGATGCGAGCTATTTGATCTATTTAAAATTTCGCTATAAGCTAAATAAATAAATTTTACTTTACAAAGCGTGTGTGAGGGTGATTTAAAAAAAACTGAATTTGAATTGAATTTTTGTTAAATGTCACCCATTTTTTAAAAGCGAACACTACTCCAAAGACCTTAAAGAGCAATCGGGACATTCAAGTCTTCGCCCTGATACGAGCAGTCTCGTTTTTATTAACAATTAAAGGCCAGAAAATGCTATCTCAAACCCAAGCGACAATCAATAATACCAACGGGCCTCGAACCACTGACAAAATTTTGACCAAACGGCAAGTGATATTTAAGTGGTCAAACTAAACTGGTTCAAATGACGTTTGAAGTTGACTTACAGAGTGTTCAGGTCGCCAGCCGATCTACTCTGCCTCATATGAGCTCCAAATGCATTTTGCTCTTGAGCCCTTCGACGAGAGTTCACTCCAGTGACCGAGTGTTTAAACCCCACACGGAGATTGGCACTGTTTGATGACGCAGAAAAGACACTATTCTGCTGCTCACTTTGCAGACATTCTTCCACGAGGTTCGATCTATTCGGGAACCTAAAGTGTAAACTCTTAAGTTCCGCTTTTTGATGATTTATCACGAATAAAATAAAATAAGTTCCTCGTTCCGCCCACTTGACGAAGTGAAAACGAACTATGGCGTACAGTGTGTTTTCCTTTCTCGAAGAAAGCTCGTAGCGGGGTCAAAAGTGTCATCATATAAAAGCCAATTTATCTGTATCGAGAAAAATTGGTCTGATTTTTCAGTTTTTAAGATTAACATGACACTTATTTTCCTTGTGACAAAAAAAAGATTGAACAACCAATTCATTTATTCTGCAATTTTAAATTAATTTAGCTATTATTATTTCTCATTTGACAGATAAGCACGCTACTTGATCGCCCTTCACTAGAAAAAAAAAACATATATTTAAGCGTGCAATATTTATTCCTAAATTCAGTTTTTGGATTTTTTACTCTAATCATTATGGTCGGAACATTCTATGCAACTTCCACAGCAAGCCTTACACAATTGTACAATCTGCAAACCTAAATGTTTTTTAAAGAAATTTTTTAAAGTAATGCGCTAATCAGAGATGGTTTATCGAAAAACAATATTGCCTGGTTGTTCATTATGTAAACGTGTAAAACCTCAGCGAGTGGATGGAATCTTGAAGTGGCCATAAACTTCTTAAAATGTACCTGGGACGAAAGAGGTCGGTATTAAGAGCACGTGAATTCGCCAGGTTGCTATAGTAAATGATTATCAGCAAGAGATACAATGAAAACATTACATCAAAGTTGACAGTTGTCAGATTTCATCAATTGAATTAATATGATACTGCAAACTACTTTCCCATTTACACTACTAATACTGTTTGACTTTTGGTTGATGATATCAAAACTAACCTTCCGTTTACCATTCAACTTCAAATTCGTTCTGGAAAAAAAACATTTAAACAGAAGCGAAATTGCACTTCGCAATCACAAGCGATAAAAAGGCAAAATTAGCCCTAAAAGGGTAAAAGTAATAATAAAAAATTCTGATATGCACCGGAATCGAACTCCCAACCTCGAGATACAGAGTATCACGTCCCAGCGCCATCGGCGCTTGATAAGCGTTAAACACTAGCCACTAATAAATCGCATACCAGGATATAATGCTAATTGAAGACAAGTAAACCAGATATAATGCTAATGCAGCAAAAATAAACCAGATATTATGCCATTGCTGCGAAAGAGCCACCATATCAATGAGCAATTCAATTTAAGGAAAAAATTGACTCAGTAATATGCGACAACGCTCACTAGTAGAAATAAGGAAACGTTGAAAAACAAAAAATAAATTTTTGATATGTTCCAGAATCGAGCTCACGACCTCGTGATTAAGAATCCCACCTCGTCGCATCTTCCCGACGGTCACTTAACAATATTCAATAACTAGCACCAATAAAGCAGATACATCAGCGGTTGTTTAATTGTTTTAATTCTGGAGCTAGAAGTGGCCTTTACAGTCTTGCTGTTCAATAATGGATGTTGAATTCCTTTTTAAAAAAATAAACTGAACTTTGAAAGAAATCAAAAGACAAACCCTAAGATCAAAATTGAGCTTGAACAAATTTTCATTAAAAAACAGCCAATTTCAGTATGAAAGTATGAGCTCATCGGAACAGTCAATTTTTGTATGGAAGTTAGGTGGTATACTATCAGGTCTACGTGGCTTTGTGTTATCCAATTCCTCTAGGCAAATATTGATTTTCAGTTTTGATATGTCGAAATTTTCGACCAGAGGGTTTATGCAAGAGATAGACGCTAATGAGTTTACTTTTGACACCTATATAAGAGTATTCACTACGTTAGTGATTCATAAAAAAACTTTACGCGGTATTTTACAGTGCCAGGAGTGCAAGAGGTCCTAGATAACTGACCTGACCACAGTTAAGTGCAGCACACCAGTGGAGTGTTGAATCAAACGCACAGCTGCTTTTCTCTCTCTACACTGCTCCCCATTAACTGCTTCTATTATGTCACCCGCCTCGAGTCCACTTATATGCGCCTTCTCAGTCTCGTTCACCTGAAACAGGAAGAAGAAAAATTATGCAACCAGTTTATTGATGTACAATGAAAAAAAAACATTAAAAACGTAAAATTACAACTGCATAAATTGTGTTTCCACATTTTATTCACACGCAGCGGTCACGTGTAATTTGCTGACTAAGCAATTTCTTTTCTTTAACCGCCTTATCTTCAATTAGTCTACAATTATACAAATAGCGTAAGGTTTGTTGTACCACGGTCCTTTTTTCAATGAAAAGATGGACCGCAAAAAAAAACTTTTGGGGGTCGCGACAATAATGGTTTTTTGTATATTTTGTCGTATATCGTTTAAAGCAGCTGAAACATTCATTAGCCACCCGACTGTTTGACCATGTGATTTTTTTGTTAGATTTTTCTTTTAAAAAGCCACATGCCAAAATTGTGGTTTCAAAATTTTCTTAAGTAGCTTATGATTTTGCAACATCGTCGATTTTTCTTAAAATGACACCAAACTATTGATTTGAAAAACAACTGTACACAGAGGCAAAGCTGTGCTTCGAAAATACTAGCAAGAGCACGACAAAAAGCAGCTTTAAAAAGTGCATTAAGAAAAGTAGAAATAAGCCTCGATTAGCAAAAACTCGGCTGAGATTCGAATCTGCGACCTTGAGATTAAGAGTCACACTCACTCAGCCACGGACGCTTAATAGTAGATAAAAGATTAAACACTAGTCACATTAAAGCAGAGAACAGATGCTATGCAATTATCAATGCTACAGTGAAATTTCCAAATAAGTGAACACTTTCACTTGCGATTTAGGTAAGAAAAAAGGTTCTTAAAAAGACACTAAGCTAAAGCTAGAGCCATCAGATTTAAACCATATCAGATATTTAGCTAAACATAATAATGCAATTGAAATGCAAATATGAAAAAAGGGGGCTAGGAAATTAGACGTGACCAACAAAACGAATTTAGACGTTAAATTGTTTATGCAAAACTAGCATTTTAGACGAAAGCAAAGAGCTAACAAAACTTATTGCTTAAAACAAGTTTTCATAATTACAAAAATGGTATATGATCCCATTGCATATCAAAATATTCATTACAATTGATTTATAAAACGTTAATCTCAGTATTTTAAAATATTTTGGAATGCATAAATTATAAAATTCTGGCATGTGAAAAAAGCGGAATATGAGAAATGCGGCATATGAAAAAACGATTTGCATTTAAGAAAGCTCCAACGAAATTTATTTTTAATTGTAGTCAGTAAACAAATTTCAGACACGAACAATACAATTACGTCTAATTTCCTATATTTGTAATTTTGCATCGACATCTAAATTCGTTTTTGTTGGTCTTGTCTAATTTGCTTATCGTCTAATTTCCTAGGCTCCATGAAATACGTATTTATTTATAAAGCCTGGCAAGCGAGCCAGTAGCTGATTTATTACCTTTATCACACTTCAAATTTGTTTTATGAGCACTCCAAAAAGAACAGGTGTTCATTTACCTGCAGTGCAGCTAACTATGTGATCAACACTTCAAGTACTAAGCAAGACTGTTTTTTTTTTAAATCTTTCATGAACTTTTGCGCGAAAAAGAATAATTTCAATAAAATTCAGCAAGTCAATGAAATGAATTTGAATCGATTCAGAAGTGAAGATTACAATAGCTTTCAAAATGAAACGGAGGAAGCAAAGTTTATGCTTTTGAGCGGGTTCTTGTAATTTCCGCAGTATTTTGGCTACAAAATTGCATTACTGTTAAAGCTTTTAATATTCAAACCTTTTCAGTTCACAGCTTTCCAAGGCAAAAAAAAAGATGCAAACAAAATTATTCACCTTAGTTTCTTAACTGCTAGAGGTGTTTGAGAAGAAAAACAAAGTTCGAAAAGCTTTGAAATCCGGGTTTCACCAATTTAAATTATCATTAATTTTTACTCCAAGATCTTTAACTTCAGAAACACTTTTCAGCTCCTTGTCTTAAAAGCAGAAACTGGCAACAATTCCATTTTTCTGTTTCCTTGAACTAAGAACTCAATAAACGAATACTAATGACAATAAACGAAAACAGAATGAATTAATGACAAATCTGAATACTGCAATTCAGCAAGTTTTCAAATCTACTCATAGAACCTAAAAAAACATATCACCAAAAAGATTTTTTGAACTTTCAAAATCTTTAAGACCCTTTAACAAAGCTTCGGTAGACAAACTTAAAACATAGTCAAGAGACAGTTGGAAAAGAGTCAAAAAACCTAAGAAAACAGAAAAAAACTGACTCTTTATGATAGACCTATTCTTGAAAAACAAGCTCAATTTGAGAAAACTGAATTAAACGACGGATTTTTTTCCGCTGGGAAATTTACATGCATTCCCTCATCGAAACTAGTTGTTCGTGTTTTTTCGCGCGATTTAAACTTGAAGAGTGCAATTTACCAATCTTCAGTAGATGAATTTGAATTGAACTCAACAAAAGACTTAGATATATAAATGCATTCAAAAATACTCTGAAGGAACTCAAGACAAAAATCCTCAGAACCTATATTAGAAACTTAATTAATTTCATCGACTCTTGACCAGGAAAATCCATTCATCACATTACGATTCCCAGAAACTATTAAGGCGCTATCCAGTTATCATACCGTCCCTTTAGTGTCCCCTTTGGTTCAATGCTGATTTGAAGATATCTTAAATTGAGCTGCAATATTTAAATCGAGTCACAACGAGTTCTTTGAGAAAAATGTTTTACTTTAATAACGTTTGATTATAGCCAATTACGATACAACATAGCCAAGAGACAGTTGGAAAAAAGTTTTAAAAAAATGCAAGGAAAACGAAAAAAAATTGGCTTTTAAAATTTTGAACTTACGAATAAAAAAATAAAATATATATGGACACATTCTTGAAACCTACTTAATTTTGAGCAAACTGGATTATTAGGCAAAAATTCTTTCCGCTGGGAAATCTATTTTCATTCCACTATCGAAACTAGGGATCATTCACGTTTCTTCGACTTGAAGAGTGCCACTTATTTATCTTTCAGTTGATGAAATTAAATTGAATTCACAAGGTGCAAATACAGAAGTGGATTTAGGGGAGGGGGCGGACGTCCCCCTCCCTCAGGGATTCGACTCCCTGCCAACCCAAACTTTTTAAGAAACCATTTTTGGCCGACCGACCCTAAAAATTTTTTAAAGGCGCCAATATATACTAATTTTGAAGGGGGGAGCGGGCATAAAAAAATGCATAAAAACGTCTTTTTTGGCGTTTTAGAAAAAGTCGCCTGCGGCGCAGAAAATTTGGTCACTCCAGGCCGAGAAAAATTTCATAAAACCGAGAAAAATTTCAACATTTTTTGAAAATCCGCCCCAGCTCCCTCGAGAAATTCCTAGATCCGCGCCTGTGCATATACATAAATGCATTCAAAAACACTCTGAAAAAGCTCAAAAAAATTACTAAGACTTACATTAGTCTTAATTACCTTCATCGACTCTTGATCACGTTCATCATCTGCGTAAAAAACAAATAGAATCAATTACAAAAGCATAACCAACAGAAAGCTGCAAAAGAGTCAATGAGCCCAAGTAAACTGAAAGAACACTGACTTGTTTTTTTCATAAAAACATTTCGGACTCCAATGGAAGAAAATAGATGGCCTTAAAGCTCTTTCAAATTCTACAATTAATGATTGACACTTTTTTGACCAAATTAACCCAATTTGATAAAACTGGATCAGTGAGTAAATTTATTACTTTATTGAGATACCTGAAAATTAAATTCTTACATCGAAAGTAGAATTCAATCACGTTTTTCGTGGCCTTGACACTTCCGATGTTTGATAAAGGAGTTTGCCTTCCTTAACAAATAGGAAGAAAACTGAATATTTAAGGAGGAAATACACCCGAATACAAAGTTTCTACCCATTTTCAATGTTCAGAGCAATAACGGGTTTTATGGCTGAATTGTTGTATTTAAAAATGTTTGCAATGGAATACAGTTAGTATTCTGGACAAGATGCCGCAAAAACCTTTAGAGCATTTTAATTGCTTTCCAGTTTTCCTATTTTTAATGTGCTTTTAATTTGTACAATTTTGCTATTTTTTAGTTACTGATGATGACATAATGTCGAAAACGTTTTACCATTGATGTTTTTTCGCAGAGATCATTTTCAAATCGTTGAATATATGATTCAATAACAAAAGTCGGTTATCCACAAACAGCTTTAGATCTTTTAGGTCTTTCACAATTTCTACCCGAAGATTCAGAGAAAACTCTAGCTCCTTATTGCAGTAAATTTCAGAAGCAATTGATAATTTTTGTCTTTTCACAATTCAATGATTCAATGATGCCATTTGTTGCGGCGGATAAATCCTAAATTATTTGCCTATTCAATCTGAAAAAAAAACATGCTTTGTCAATAAAAAAGACAAAAAAAACGAACCAGAAAAAAAATTTATGCATTTAAAAAGCGATATATGAGCCGGCGGAAATCAAGACGAATGATCAATAACGCTCAAGTTTTTTTTACTTGTGAATGAAAATATGACATAAAATGTGTTTTAAGTTCGAGATGCAATTCTTTTTACAAATGATAGGCCAACAATTTTTTCAAATCGATAACTTTTCGATTTTGCAAGAAACAGGTGCTGGCCGGATTTGTAGTACCGGGTAAGAATGAATGCAGAGGCTATTGGAATGAGCTATCAACGTTTAATTAGACTAAGAATTACCTTAGTCACGATGAGTGATGGAAACCCTGTCAGTCCACCGTTCAGGGTAAAACCCCATGGTTTGTCACCATAAATTGTAATTTCTTTCTTCTCAAATGTCCCAGGAGCATGTTTCCGCGTTCTCGCAATTTCAACGCTATCGTTTCGAAAGATTTCAGAGGGATCCATTTTAGACATGACCATTGTCAACTTATAATGCGATTTTAAACCATCTTTATCGAACTTTATTTCGTCTCCTAACTTGAGAATGAACTGATCATATCCACCACTAGTTTGAATTAGTCAACTATTCTAAAAATTGTATGAATGAATGCGCATAGCAGCAAAGCCTTGATTAATCAGATCGAAAGTTGATGATATATTGACTAATAACTATTAAACGGCGTCGGAACTACAAAAAAAACTATGGAACCTTCTCGCATAACCGAAATCCCAATTCAGTTAATAGCTCAATCGACTGCCACAAAGCTAATTACATTGAAACAAAAAGATCATATTACTAACACTCCTTATGTTGCTATCGCAGGCGGAGCAAAAAGCAGAATGGTCTAGATCCAAGAGCAGTAATACCAAAAAATATTCACTTTAATAAGCTAATCGGTAAAACACGTATTAGAATTGCCAATTTTACCCAAGAAACAATTATATTCTGAATAAATTGATCAATTTTTTTTTTTGAAATTCAATTTAAAAAGCTTGACAAAATTACTGTTAAATGTATAAATTATTCATTTCTTAGGTAGTACTGTTGATTCTAATAATTGTTTTAATCGATTAGTCTGTACAGATTAAAACTTGTCGGCTTCTCTGCTCTTACTCCCACTTCCTGCTCCTAGACTATTCTGCTCATTGACTGGCCACCCAAAAACATCATGGTAACGGAAATTACGGCACTAGTCCTTCATCTTTTCACCTCGCTGTCGCAATCAGCAGCTAGGACTTACATGCTGAGTTTTAAAAACTCGTTCAAAAAGACGTGACAATTATATTTATCGCGGCCACTGAACGACGGTTTTCCCTGGTTAGAAATACACAAGACGTATCATACGGTTTTCGCTGGTTAAAATTGTAACATTCGCCCGAAATTAAATAACGACGGAAAATAAAGCTAGGTTCTAAAACGACTGATTAAATAGTTTCATAAACTTCTTCGATAAACTTATTAAATAGTTTCATATAACGTAATGCCTGAGACGAGGAATAGATTGGCATCCAAACAGAGTGATTGCTGTACTGTTTGTACCAAACCAAATGGAGAAAACTGGATTCTGTGTGAGAGCTGCCAAAGATGGACTCACGGTGGGTGTGCTGAATACTAGAACGACGAGTACAAATTCTTGGCGAGGACCAAAAATGTGATGTTTTTCTGTGACACATGCCTTCCATCAGCGCAATGCAACTTACTGAAAAACAACATCTCCGCAGAGGTCACCAAGGAAATTGCAGACTTGAAGGCCACAGTGGAGAGTGTTAAGTCTGCTGTGACGGCACTGACACCAACTGCCATAGAACCCGAAGCTAAGTATTCTTCAATTGTGAAAAATAATACTGAATATTCACTGGAGTTAAGGTTCAGCGGTTTGCCTGAAATAAGCGATGCCCCTAAAAAACCCAACCGAAAAGAAGTTTTTGAACACGATGAAAAACAGTTATTTGATGTTGTACATTATCTGGGTGTGGGAAAAGAAGATATATCCTGTTTCCCTAGGCTTGGCAAATACAATTCACAAAACCCTTGAGCAAGGCAAATTCTTTGTAAGTTCTCAAATACTTATACGGCTGATAAAATATTAGCACGTGCACCAATGCTTAAAGTTTTCGAACCAACATACAACGATAAGGCCTATCGAGTTTTTGTTTCAAAATCTTTAATTAAAGAAGAGCAAATGAAAGAGCGAACACTTCTGAAAAAAAAAGAAGAGAGTTATTAGATACAAACCAACATGATCAAAAGAACATTCATATCAAAAATGGAATTTTGTATTTAAATAACCAAGCAGTAGTAATTGATGAGTGACTAGAGAATTCAACTGGTGAACTAAGCATGTTGTGTTGTAACATTATGTGCCAGTCGGTCATATTTGGAAGTTTGACCTTGAGAAAAGCAAGAGCACTTAATTTTGGAGTGAAATTTAATTTTTCAAAAATTCGAATGGAGCCTGTCATGCACGATTTTCTCGCGATAACTGAAAACCGAAAAAGAGAAATGAGAACAATCGAGTAACAATCGCGGGAAAGTTGCTTGATAAAACAGTGGAAAATTGCTATTCGCAATTTCTGTCACAATAAAACAAGAGTAGAGCTGTCCCATCTGAAACAGAGACAAGCGTATTCCCGAGAACTGGATTGTCATCACTCGATTGGATTATTATTTGAACTGGTTTAGAGTGAACCTTCGGTGGAAAGGCGGACAGCTTGAGGGTCCCAATGGTTCACGAGAAACTACATTCTAGAGTTAAAACTTGTCCTTGTCATTGAAACTGATAAACATTAAAACTCATTTAGTTACATTATTTAATTCTCGAGTTGATTACCGACTGAATTACTTCCCTTTCTTGAGCGTGCTACGATGTGAGTACTTAATTTAAATTTCTAGAGTGTGTTTTATGATTGTTATGTTGAGGTAAGGCGAGTTTTAGGTTGATCCATCTGAAATGGATCAAAGTTCCACTGTCTAATAAAAAGTAACCTAACGGATTGTTCCGACCCGGTTTTTAACGGCGTTTATGTATTTTGGGTATCTAGAGACCTAAGTATGGGGACGTTATTATTTCTAGTGTGGGGGGATATTTTGGTAGTAGCCTTTAAGCTGTAACGGGTCGTAGTCTCATGTCACAAGCGAACCGAATTGGCTCCGACTGATTTGAGGTAGAAAAACACAAGAGATAGTGTCCCTGACTAGGCCAATGGTTATAGGGCCTATTTTTCTTAAGCCTCATATGTGACTACAGTAGACGAATGTTACATAGTGTTTTTATGGCGCTCCTGGGTGTTTACGACATCAAGACTACGGAGTCGAACCCACTTGAGACAGCTTCGGGCTGCATGCCCATTCTAGAGCACCGGTTCGACAGGAACGTGCAAACCTTCCGGTTGTACCGTGATAGCTTTTTAAGAAAACTCGAGAAAAATTCCTGGTACGCTTTCCGAACGAGGCTTAGCTAACCGAGTAAAGGGGGCAACTAGGGGGACAAAAAAAACGAGCAAAAAGACAAAAAGCAAAACAATAACCATAAAACGAAAAAAGACAGTGACTTTGACACCAGATTAGTTGGATCAAACCTTTATATTAATTAAATAGTATACCCATACTGTTTTACAAGTTCGATCGTTTCGATCAACCTAGCAATTTAACCCAGTAACCTTAATAAAGTGCCCGAATTGGCTCCGACTGATTTGAGGTAGAAAAACACAAGAGATAGTGTCCCTGACTCTTGAGCCAATGGTTATAGGGGCTATTTTTCTTAAGCCTCATGTGTGACTACAGTAGACGAATGTTACATAGTGTTTTTATGGCGCTCCTGGGTGTTTACGACATCAAGACTACGGAGTCGAACCCACTTGAGACAGCTTCGGGCTGCATGCCCATTCTAGAGCACCGGCGGTACGGTTCGACAGGAACGTGCAAACCTTTCGGTTGTACCGTGATAGCTTTTTAAGAAAACTCGAGAAAACTTCCTGGTACGCTTTCCGAACGAGGCTTAGCTAACCGAGTAAAGGGGGGCAACTAGGGGGACAAAAAAACGAGCAAAAAGACAAAAAGCAAAACAAAAACCATAAAACGAAAAAAGACAGTGACTTTGACACCAGATTAGTTGGATCAAACCTTTATATTAATAAAATAGTATACCCATACTGTTTTACAAGTTCGATCGTTTCGATCAACCTAGCAATTTAACCCAGTAACCTTAATAAAGTGCCCGATTGTGGGGCGTTGTCAAGGGTTTTCAGATAGCTTGGAACTTAGCTGGACAACTAGGAGACTTGACTGGAAGGGGTGACCAGCCGAGTGGGAAAGTGGTTCAGGAGCACTTGAGCTGAACCAATAGGAGACTTGACTGGAAGAGGTGACCAGCCGAGTGGGAAAGTGGTTCAGGAGCACTTGAGCTGAACCAATAGGAGACTGGACTGGAAGAGGTGACCAGTCGAGTGGGAAAGTAGCAAAGAAGGATTTGGCAGTTCTCGAGTTCTCAAGTTGGGCAGAACGGGTATCGTTAAAATCCACATTACATTATAGGAGACAAGTGTAAAATTGGATAAGCTAAATCCCCTGGTTTTGAGGAACGTTTTTACTTAAGCAGGCCTGGAGACAGGTCTACGGTTTTCTCTTGAGAGGTTTAGCACCCGGCGCTTAAGGAAATTTTTAGGCTTAAGAAGGGGGGCTAAAAAGGGGGGAGGTTAGAAGGGGGGCTGGTTAGGTTAGAGGTTGGCGGTTGCAAATTGTAAAAAGGGGGAAATTAGAGTAACTAATTAATCGACATCGTTGATTTAGTTACATTAGTCATTAACACGCGTTGGTAATAATAGGTGGATATCGAAATTTAAACTCGAGTTAAGGCAGGTACCCTGGTCGGATTGGTAGGGGGGAACGGACAGAGACAATTCTGGTGATACTCAATAAGATTATTAGTTGGGGGGAGGAAAACGCGTGGCAATTAGGTACCAGACATTTTTTTTCGACAGAAGGTAGACATTTGTCACCTTTGAATTTTAGGTGGGTTCATATCTCTGTTTTTGTTACTTTTTCTGGCTTAGATTTTTTGTTGCATTTTGGTGAGGATTTGTGTTTAGTTTTTACACGAAGAGGTGATCACAAGATACCTGCGCACAGGTTTTGGTTTCAAGTTGCTTGGAACTTTGAAAAAGAGGTAACTAAAAAAAAAGGGGGGGGGGTCAGCATTTGGCCTTTAAGAGAGGGTTTTGGGAAAATTTTACTAGAGCTTGAGTGGTGGTACAAGGTACAGTGAATCAAGAAGTCCCCATAACGGAGAAGAAAGAGGTCCCACCGCTCAGACACTTGTCAACAGTCTTGGGACAGTGCCAAAGAAGTCTTGGGACAGAGCAGTCTGGGGACAGTCTTGGGACAGTGCAGTCCTGGGACAGTGTTGGACCAGAACAGTCTTGGTACAGTCTTGGGACAGTACGGTCTTGGGACAGTGGTCTTGGGACAGTGGTCTTGGGACAGTGGTCTTGGGACAGGGGTCTTGGGATAGTGGTCTTGGGACAGTGGTCTTGGGACAGGGGTCTTGGGATAGTGGTCTTGGGACAGTGGTCTTGGGACACTAGCC